TCTCTCTCGTGTTCATGCGGGACATGACCATCATAACACCATCGTCAATACTCGCAGCACCCGGAATGCTTGAGTGACCACCGCCCTTGATCGAGAACTTGCATTCGTTTTGAGAGAAGAGTTTGATGGCCTGAGAAACTTGTTTGGTGGATTCAGGCGCAAATATACATGCGGGGTCAAGAACGGCGGTTGCGGCTATTTCCTATATGTAAGACACCAAATCTCGTCACGCCAGAAAACGAGAACGTATGAAACACTAACACCAGAAATTATCTTTTTCAGAGCTCCACAACTGGGTATACTTGGTATAGACAGCATCTGGAAAGGCTTCAGAGAGCATTGAACACTAGGGAATGGTGCCAGTATCAGTATCATTGTCCCACCTGTTACCACCAAACAGACATACACATGACGGCGAGGATTCCGTCGTTCTCGCAATTGATAGAGGCACAAAGAACCCAGCAAAGGTGGTTAGCATCAAGGATATCATCCTGCTAGATCCACTTTACAGCACGATTAGAGCTGTACAGCAAGGCGTTCCTCAGAAAAAACAGTGGTGAAAAGCTGCAGTATGAGGGCCTGGTTCTATATATATATATATAGCCCCCCTCCTTTGGCGTGTAACTTCTACGGAAGCTTATATCTTATAATGATGTTCCTGGCTCTCCTCGTAGAACTCAGGCTGGATCTGATAGCTTGGGGTTTCCCAGTAAGAAGCAGCGGTTGGGTATCACAGACGTCTGCCACTCACTTGCTCTGCTCATAAATGAATATGATACAAGAGTAACAAGATAGGTATAATATCGTTCTAAGCTGTTAGATGAGTAACAAGTCGTACTTCAGCTTTTTTATAATAACTGCTAAAGGAAAAAAAAAAGCGTTCTGTTAATAACTAGTTTATCGGCCGGTGGCCAGGCGGGAAGCCGCGATAGCATCTCTGGTAGTGACGATGAAGGATGCCCATCGACCAAGCAAAGCAGAGAAGGTCGTCTATCTTTCGAGTCTTTAGCCAGCTTTTCCTGCTGCCTTTTGTTTTATCAAGATCAACTTTTTCAGAGCCAAAGATGATTATGTAATATAACGCAAAAGTCACGGGATGAGTTCAAAGGATTAATTATAATCCGAAATTCCGAGATGTCCCAGAATTGTTAGTCAGCAGATGTCCAGTTGCTGAAAAGTTGAAGATGAAGACAAGAAATTTCGAGATATTCGAAGAAGAACCAGAGAATTGAAGTCAGTGTGAGCCTTTTTTAGGATGATATCCAGTGGATAGTATGATAAAGATCCATGTTTGATGATACCCAGGCTCTATCACTCAAGTTCTACTGTGTCGACAATGCTAATATCATGTCTGGGAACTCGACGGCTGGGCTCTACACAAGATCAAGAGACCTGAAGGAATTATTGATATTGATAGTCTGCTAGCTGAGAGTATAGCCTAGAAGCTCGTCTATTGGACATCGTCACAGTTGGTGGTGACTACGACATCCTCCCAGTCGTCCAAGACCTGCTTATTCCTCAAGTCCTCGTTGATGTACTGAATCGCATCCTTGCCCAACGGCAACCTCATCGGCAGCTCTCGACTGCCGCATACCCCTCATTTGGTCAAGGCCTGAACGATAACAGTTGCACCCTTGACGGGGTCACCGGCCTGTTTCTTGTTATACGCGTCAAGTCGATCTTTGGCCTCGCCTGTGATGGAAGACAGTTCTGGAATCCGATTCTTGGCTACTGTTCTATTTCCGCTGACGAGGAAGTTGGTTCTGAAGTAACCGGGCTCAATGCAGGTCACATCGATTCCAAAGGGTGAAAGTTCACCCTTCAGGGCCTCGGAGTACAAGGCTATTGCTCCCTTGGCGGCGCAGTATATTCCCACGGAGGCTGAGCCGCGCCACCCGCAGATTGAGCCCAGGTTAGCGATGGTGCCGCTCCGCTGGGCTCGCATGTAGTTATGGAGCCACTGCTCTGATGATTGCCATCTGGCCGAAGACATTTGTGGCAAAACAGCGCTGCACCCCATCTGTACTGCATGGATGTTAGTCTCACCGAAGATCCAGTCTTGGGACTTGCCTTTTGACGTACCTGCATTCCTCGATAGCACCCTCCAGGACATAACCCGCATTGTTGACTAATATATCGATCCGCCCTACACTCTTGATGATGTCGGCAATGGTTGCGTTCAACTGCTCGTCGCTGTCTAGCACATCGAGTCTCTTCGCCATGATGTTCAGCCCCAGCTTCTCGAGGTCTTCGATATTGGAGATGTTACACGCGGTAGCTACGACGGTATCGCCCCGTCTGGCAGCTGCGAGAGCTATCTCTCTCCCGAAACCGCTTGAGCATCCAGTGATCAGCCACACCTTGGACATGGTAAAAATCAGTCACTCAAAGATTGTGGCGTACTTGATTGTGATTTATGACGATAATAACGATGTCAATAAATAGTAACTATCCTCCTTCTATCTCCTTCGTCCTATTTATATCCCTTCTCGTCTTCTTTTCAGCTATTTTTTGTCCCTCCGCACCTGAACATGGTGCTGCAAAGTCCGCGTTAACTCTATTGACCAACAGCAACGCTCTCATTTCATTTGACAGCAAGTAACAAAGTCACGGAAATAAAAAGGATATAAAGGGAGATATCGAAAGAAGACCAGAGATATGGCCGTGATATGATGATGGATATACGGAGATGCCGTTGTATTCAATTCTAGCAACCTACCAACAAAGATCGTCCGTAGATACTACAGCGGTTTCAGCGCATAAGAGGCCGGGATCAAGCAATCCAGAACCAGACCCGTTCTAAGGCAGCAATATCAGCAATCATCAAGGTGAAACCAAGATGAATGGCCCAGATATAAGGCCGTAAGACTATACACTTACGTAGGAAGTTCTTCGCGACCGGCTCTACCCATGTCGTCTCGAGGCTGTCAATGTCTTCCTTGCCGGAGAAGAAGTCCATCTCGTGCAGCTGGACGAATCTGGTGCGGTAAATGAACTTGTAGCTCAGAAACAAGCCTGCAAAGATGGGAATGTCTATGTAAGGGGGTATGAATGTCTTTGCACTGAATTTACCGGGGAAAAATGCATCGAAACCATTGAAGAAGGCTACGACAGTGCAGAACACGACTGCAAACCAGGCAAGGTAGGGCTGGAAAGGAGCCCGATATGGCAGGGCAGAGCGAGGGATGCCCTGGCTGGCCATGCCGTGGTAGAAGCGGATGTAAGTGACTGAGATGGAGGCCCAGATGAGCAGCGTGCTGACGGAGCTGAGGTTGCTGATCCAGAAGAAGACCTCGCTGGCGCTGGAGGTGACGTTCAGGTAGACGAGCAGGCTGAGGGCGGTGGTGACGCCGACGCAGGCGTAGGGGACACCGAACCTCTCGTAGCGGAGGAAGGCGGGCGCCTTGCCGTCCAGGGCGGTGGCGTAGAGCACACGGGTGGCAGCGTAGAAGAAGGTGTTGCCGGCTGAAAATGCAGAGGAGAGAACGACGGCGTTGATTATATGTGGCAGGACGGGGATGCCGCCGTTTGCGATGGCGATGACGAAGGGGCTGGCGCCCACCCCGGGGGCACCGGCCCGGAGAGCATTGAGCAGACGTTCGTCCTCGGACGAGACGCACATGCCCACGAGGAAGATGGCGAGGACGTAGAAGAGCAGGATGCGCCAAAATACCCGGCGGACGGCCTTGGGGATATTCCTGCGTGGGTTCTGCGTCTCCCCCGCAGCGATGACGACCATCTCGCTGCCTCCGTAGCTGAAGGTAGCCTGGATGAAGACCTTCCAGAAGGCGAGGAACCTGCCCAGGGCGCCGGGTCTGAGATACTCTGCCATCGGGCCTGGGCTCTGCCAGTATCGAAAGCCTATGCGGTCATGGGTAGGCGAGCCCCCCAGCATGATGACAAACATGAGGATAATCAGGCCGACGATGGTGGTGAGCTTGACGGCGCCAAAGACGAACTCTGTCTCGCCATAGTACCTGACCGGCATGGCGTTGAGCAGGACGAGCAGCAGCAGGAAGAGGGTGATCCACGCCCACCCGGGGACGGGGTTTGGCCAGTAGTCGATGACGAGGACGCTGGCGCTGATCTCGATGGGCACCCCGATGGCTAGCTGGTACCAGTAGTTCCAGCCCAAGGTGAAGCCCAACGCAGGGTCTACATATCGAGCTGCATAGACCGGAACCGCACCCGGGAGCGGCAGCCAGGTGGCCATCTCGCCCAGGCTGTTGATGACGGCGTACAGGTTGGCGCCCGTGATGAGGTAGGCGAGAAACGCAGAGAGGGGGCCAGCGAGCGAGAGCACCTGGCCGCTGCCCACAAAGAGACCGGTCCCAATCGCACCGGACAGGGCGAGGAACTGGATGTGTCTCGCCTTGAGTTGGCGGTGCAGGGTGCCAACGTTCCTCCGCCCGCGCTCGAGCTCTGCGCGCTTAGGTCCTCGAAGGTCCCCGTCTGCTGCGGCCGGGATGCATCTGCCTGCTTTGGCTTGTTCGCCGTCCTTGATATCGTCCATCCGGCCCTCAAGAGCTGCTTTCGACAGCGGGCTCGGACAAGACAGGAGAACAGGCTTTTGACAGGTTTCGACAGGCCTTCCAGCAGGCTCGGACAGACAGGAGAACAGGCTTCGACAGGCTGCAACCTTCAACGGGGCTCAAGACTGGCGGTTTGCAAGGTTGACTCGATCACATCATCGCCAGGATTCGACGGCTAACCGGCCATCATGATGTGTTGTTATAGTCTATCGATCTCCTGCTTTCTCCTTCGTCCCTCCTTCGTCCTCCCCCCCTGGTCGTGTGATGGCCAGCAAGATGCAACGACAGGGGGGCAAGACGAGACAGATGCAGCTCCGTCGAAGGGAGCATCGCCAATTGGCCAGCCAACCCGGCCTTGCCAGAGACTCGGCGATGTTACATCATTGATATATTTATACACGCTTGTGTGTATATAAACATGTTTGTGTGAGAAGTCGTACCTAAGTAACGTTAGCCGCCACACCAAACAAGGAAAGAAAACAGCCGAGGGGGAAACAAAACTTTTGTATGATAAACAAACCGCTGCTTCTTCATCGAAAGCAGCCCAGGTCGAGAGCGTTTTTGATCCATAAGCATTATTCAATCATCTCTCCGCCGTCTTCTGTATCCCAGCACCGTCTGCAACCCCCCCCTAGTCGCCCAGTATTGTGCCATCGAAGTCGTCCGTCCAAAGTGTAACGACCACCGCGCGGCATGGCGAGACACCTGTCGAAGGAATCCCGGGTCGACATCCTCAGGCTGCGCGCGCAGGGACTGACCTACAAAGAAATCGCCGAGCGCAAGGGCATCACGCACCGCCAGGTCCAGTGGACATGCGAGTCTGGCGATCCGACGCCCAAGAGGCGGAGTGGCCGGCCGTCGCAGCTCTCGCCAGAGCAGGTCAGGACCCTGATCGAGTATGTGTGCGCATCGCCCGAGAACCGCCAGCTCACCTATCACGAACTCGCGACCGTCCTCGAACTGGGAGTCGGGCAGTTCGCCGTCCGCAACGCCCTGTACAATGCTGGCTTTCGTCGTCGAGTCGCGCGGGACGTGAGGAGGGAGGATCATACGCAGGCGGTGCAGACTACGGCAGATATACATACAGATATACATACAGCAGATATACATACGACAGCAGCATCAGCGAATATACATACAGCAGCATCAGCAACAACAGGTGTACAGGCTACAGATATACAGACTACAGCAGCAGACATGCAGAGAGGAGAGAGGATAGAGTAGATTGCTATGGAATCACTTTTCAGCCACCAATAAAACTGCTGCTACTACTCCTCAGGATCAAAGTCTTCATCGTCCATCATCATGCTGCCTCCTCCTGCAACCTTTCCTCCCTTCCTCCCGGCCTCCCTGGTTCGCTCGCTTCCTGGCTCAAAAGACCCGCTAGATGCAGTTCCCCCCTTGGAGGATATTTCACGCTAGGCCCATGTACAATATTATATTAGCCCCATGGCTCTTCGGGCGAGAGAACAGAAGACGCTTGAACCGGGGGGGCGACGGCCATGGATGGATTCTCGTCTCATGATAGATCAGGAACCAACGCAGAGAAAAAAAGAACACACCTGCTTGTCAGGGTCCATGCTGGCGAACCCGCTGTGGTGGCTGCTTTGGCCGCCCTTCCTTGCAATCTCTTCGACCTCCTCATGAGGCCGGTTGGCGAAGTTGGCGGGATTGTAGTCTGCCATGGTGTCCGATATTGAATACCAATATTGATACAATTCGACTCTTACACTCGACTCTTTAACTGCTATTCGACTCTGCCTCCACGATTTTATATACACTTGCTCAGAGGCGAGATGAGGTCATATCTTCATCATAGCCTGCTTCTTTCTGTCATAGGATCCGCAGTGACAGGTTACATACGTTGAATAGGCTTCTGGTCGGCGATAGAGACTTCCTTCTCCCCTGTCCACGAAAAAGGGACCCCAAGCTCCAAGCCGCAGATATACTTCTGCCAGTTCTTTCTACCATGACAGATACACAGTCTCATCCTCTGATCAAGCCTTTTAAAAAGCTTTCGTGGCAAGGAATATCTGCATATCACGTGAAGTTTATAGGCAGGGGAGGTCTTGCAATTACGATTATATATTATATATTGTCATTTGCGGACCAGGGGGGGGTGTTCACTTTTGCGGAGTACTCATCACCTCATCGAGCGGAGCAGGGTGCATACTTCTTACTCTGAAGACCGGAACAGGGTAGTATCCTACGATGCACTCTGGCCGCAGAGCAAATGACATTACTACATCGACTACAACGGACCGGTCAAGAGATTCGATAGAACGCCGGGGAAAAAAACCATCAAAGCCACAGCTCGTCTTCCTGGTCAAACAGCCCAACAATTACGTACCAGAATCGCGGGAAGTTTTGATTCGTTTAGTCTGCTTTCAAACATTTTCTTCCCCGTGGGGTATGAGGAAGGGGCCGTGTGATGAATGTCGAGAATATTCATCCGCTCTAGCCCACCGTCGATTTGTCATAGCCAGCTTTGGACGGGATGAGATGGGAGATATATTAGATGGACGATGGCCCGTGGAAGTCGGTGTCTGAATTGTCAAGAATCAATCGAATTCAAGTGTATATCACCGTTGCTGAACCAGATCATTTTTGCACTGTTGTATCCTTTTGTATCCAAAGTTGAATCAACACTTCCCCTACCATCACACTATCAGTACTTTTTAAGTCATGGGCAGCATTGAGCCTCCTCGTCGCCGCTATGAGCGTACCCCCTTTGGAAGGGAGATGCTGAAGCACTTCTCCATCGATCCCACATACACCGAGCTCAACAATGGTACCGTATCACCGAATAGAAGTAGAGTATAGCATAAAGCTGACATGGGAACTAGGCTCCTTTGGCAGTGTGCCAACAGTCATCATGAACAAGGCACACGAGCTACGTAAACGCTGCGAGGGCAGGCCCTGCTCGTTCTCCAGATACGAATTCCCTGCGTGGCTGGACAAGTCGCGGGAAGCTGTGGCTGAGCTACTCAACGCAACCCCTGAATCCGTTGTCCTGGTTGCCAACGGTTCGACCGCCTCCAACACTGTAATGCGCAACTTCGTCTGGAACGAAGACGGAAAGGACGAGATCATCCAGATAAGCGTCATCTTCGCTCCCCTGAGCAAGATGACCGGCTACGTAGGCGAGCTGAGCCAGGGCAAGGTCAGAACCCGCCAGGTACAGCTCAACTACCCGCTAGAGGACGACGAGGTCGTTGCTCTCTTCAGGGCCGGCATCCAGGCCTCGCGGGACGCTGGGTATCGTCCTCGCCTGGGCATCTTCGACACCGTCTCCTCCACGCCTGCCATCCGGCTGCCGTTCGAGAGGCTGGTCGCGCTCTGCCGTGAGGAGGGCGTCATGAGCTTCGTCGACGGCGCGCACGCTGCCGGACACATGAAGATCGACCTAGCCGCCCTCGACCCAGACTTCTTCGTGACCTGCTGCCACAAATGGCTGTTTGTGCCGCGCGGATGTGCGGCTCTGTACGTGCCCGCCCGCAACCAGTGGATGATCAGGAGCACCCTGCCCCTGAGCCACGGCTTCATCCCGACCCAGGACATCGAACAGGGTAAAGTCGACGGCAAGCTGGCCCAGGCCCTCGCCAGCGGCAAGACCCCCTTCGTCCACAACTTCGAGTTCGTCGCTCCCATGGACAACTTCGGCTACCTCTGCATCCCGGAGTCGATCCGATGGCGCCAGGAGGTCTGCGGAGGCGAGAAGGCCATCCAGACGTACTGCGTCAACCTGGCTCGCGAGGCAGGCCGGCTGATGGCAGACATGCTGGGCACCAAGGTGCTCGATAACAAGTCCCAGAGCGTATCCGCCTGCTGCATGACCAACGTCCTCCTCCCGCTCACCCTCGACGCAGAGAACCCGCCACCGGGCCATTACGTCGTCAGGAGCAAGCCGGGCGTCCAGTTCAGGGTCAGCGACTGGATAATGCGCAAGATGGCCACCGAGTACGAGACCCTGATGCCCGTCTTCTTCTTCCAGGGCTCCTGGTGGACTCGAGGGAGTGCCCAGGTCTATCTCGAGCTCGACGACTTCGAATGGGCCGGCAGGATGCTCCAGGACTTGTGTGAACGAGTCGGTGACGGCGAGTACCTGCTATAGCCCCTGGTTAATGTCTTTTTCCCCCTTTCTTTTCTTTCTTCCTCTCTCTTTTTCCATGATGGTCAACTTTCCAGCAGTGCTGAAGCAGTTCCTGTCAAATCTTTCTCCTTTCATGTAAATATTCCCGCTCTCCTTTTCCTTTCTTCTTCTCTGATGACTCTCTGATGACTCTCATATACCTAGTTAGTACGTAATAAGATTGCAGCTTCAACTTTTCAGAACATACCTCCCGGCCACAGACGAGTAGATATATAGACCATCTTCACTCTACCGTAAAGACAAGCCGAGCGATCCATAGCTTGTTTATCTCGGAGATGATCCCGGCAAGCCGTAAGCTTCGTTCACCAGGCATAGCCCGGGAGAAACAAGCATGTTGCCATCGCCTCTCCGCTAGTTACATGGTAGATATCCATGGCCACCGCTTCAATCGCTCTGCTCGTATCTATAATGTCTTGCGCACTCGGTAAAGAGACAGGCTTCTTCTCCACAGTTTTCCCCAGAGCAGTTACATACTATGAAGTATGTAGTGGAGATGTGCATGCTGGGCTGTCCAATCCTTGCTCTAGCACGCCCGTTAGCTGGTTTGATATCCCTGTGAGGACGCGGGGGAGCACATCGCACCTCGATATACAAAGTACTCCAGAGCAGGACAAGTCTTGCTCGGGGCATAAACCCTCGATATTGACTTGTATCCGGCCGCGATGGGCTTCATCACGAAGATGGAGAATCTGCTGCGGCTCAACCGCCCCGAGACGCAAAACTTCTTCATGGGATGGTAACTAGACATCCTCCCTCCCCCTTTGATGCATTATGACCCGACAAAGACAACGCTCACCAAAGACACACTGTGAAGGGTCCTATTCTGTGCTCCAGGCATATACGTCGCCGTCATCGGCCTGGGGGCTGGAGGAGGCAAACCGAGCTCTGCGCAGGTCGCCTCGTTGACGAATGTGATCATCTACGGCCTCTTCACCATCTGCGGCTGGTTTGGCGGCGCGGCGCTGAACATCCTCAAGCCCAAGCTGAGCGTCATGATCGGGTCGGTGGGATACCCTCTGTACGTCGCTGGCCTCTGGTACTATGATCGGACAGGCCACAGCTGGTTCCCCCTGTTCGCCGGTGCCGTCCTGGGCTCTCTCTGCGGCCCCCTGTGGACGACGGCGGCCTTTATCCAGTTTGCCTATCCCCAAGAGAAGGACAAGGCCAAGGTGAGTCTCGATGTCTTCATATATATACATTATTATATACTGACGGGTACTAGTTCATCAGCGTGCAGTGGATACTGAGGTCGGCCGGGGCGACGGTGGGAGCCATCATCGCCCTTTCAGCCAACTTCCACCAGCAAAAGGCCGTGGGAGTATCGAGTGCTGTCTACGGCACCTTCACGGCCATCCACTGTCTGCCCTTCTTCATCGCCCTCTTCTTCCTCGTCGACCCGCAAAAGGTCGTCCGCAAGGATGGGACTCACATCGCCATCTTCAAGCCCACCAGGCTCTCTGTCGAGCTCAAGGCCATGGCCAAGTCTTTTTTTGACCCCAGGATTGTCATTCTCTTCCCTGCCATCCTGGGCTGCGAGATGTCCCTTGCTCTTGTTAGCAGTATCAACGGTTAGTCTGGTATCTTGCCTTGGTTATATATGCGGCTGACAAATGGCAGCCTTCTATTTCAACCTCAGGACCCGATCCCTGAACAATCTGGCCTTTCATTCGATCCAGATGTTCATGCCCTGGATCATGGTCTTCGTCCTGGACAGCCGTCGAATCAAGAGCCGCAAGAGCAGAGGTTTCATCGGCGTTGCCTTCATCGGAGCCATATCTCTCGGTGCCAGCGCCGGACTCTACGCCTGGCTCGACATCAACAGCGTCGGCTCTCTCAAGAAACCCCTGGCCAAGGACTGGACGGATCCCGAGTTTGGCGGCATGTTCACCCTCTTTCTCCTGTTCGGAGCTATCTACGCTGCCTACCAGATGACCATTGAATGGGTCGTCAGCGCTCTAACCAACGATCCCTCTAAGCTGGCGCAGTTTGGAGGAATCTTTAAGGGGACGCTCAGCTTGGGCATCTGTCTCTCTTTCGTCATGGCTGCTGAAAATGTGCCCTTCGTAGGCCAGCTGTCCCTGCAGTTCTCGTAAGTTGGCTCTCCCTCTCTCCCTCTCTCATCTTATCACCTACCGATGTATTTTTGCTGACCGGAACAGTCTCTACATCATCGGAGTGATTGGTATGATATACGTCTTGATCGTATATGTCAAGGAGACCAACTACTTCACCGAGGAGAATGTCATCGCTCCGCTGAGTGTCGAGGAGCAGGCCAGAGCCGCCGGCCTCGTCACCGATGAACAGACCCAGTCCGAAGCTGCTAAGCACAAGGCCACTGGCATGAACGCCAAAGACGACAAACAGGAACTTGAAATCTCAGTCGCTGCCTAAATTTTCCAGATAGAATACATATCTGATCGGACTGGTTCCGGTGCTGGTTCACCGTATATGTGTGTGTATATATATATATCTGAGCCAAACTTGTATAATATCAAGTAACATGGCGACGGCTTTTATGTAGATAGAGAATCAGATGAACTGTGGTATCATAGAGCATGGTCAAACTGTTGTACACTTCCAACTATCCCATAACCAAGTCGCCATCGCTGTCCGTATTGACGCCCGGCTTCTCCATCGTGGCCTGCCCGTCCTCTATATCTGAGGCATCAACCCCTTCTACCTTGACCGTGTTCTCCTCAGCGGCCTCTTCACCATCGTCTCTGTCCTCCACAGGAGCTTCACTCCCTTGATCGTCCTCCGTTTGTTGCCTTGTCGTCTGCCCCCCGTCATCCTCCACCTCCTCCCATATCCTAACGGTTCGATCCAGGCCACAGCTCGCCATCAGTCTCTTCTGGTCCATACTAGGCGGGGAGAAGGCGTCAACCCCCAGCACAACGTCAGAATGCCCGTCCAAGGTAAGTAATATATTTTTGGTTGTGACATCCCAGCATAAAATTCTGCCATCCTCGCTCCCGCTGGCAGCATAAGCGTACTCCTTCGCGCTGTTGGTGTGCTGATCTTCTGATCTTTCACGGGGAGGATTGGATGCCTGTCGATGTCCATACAACCCGAATGTGCCTGCTATGCTGTACTTTTCGTTGGTGTGCCCTTGGTAGGTCTTTATGCAGCGTCCTTCAACGTAGTTCCACAGTCGAACGCATCCATCCAGAGACCAGGCTAGAATGAACTTGCCATTGGGAGAGAACTTGACGGAGGCGACCGGTGGGTTATCTTCGTGGACCAGGGTCCGTAGGCATTGGCCAGTTGCAGAATCCCATATTCGAACTAGACCGTCGCCGGCACAGGATACTATGAGCGTGCCGTCCCGGACGAAGTCGACGCCTGCAACCGGATCCGAGTGTGCGGGCAGAGAACGCATTATTCTAGCAGATCGTACGTCCCAGATGAAGACCGCTTCATCGTATGAACCGCTGACAAGCATGTTTCCCTTGGGAGAAAATGCGATGGAATAGACATAATTATGATGGCCGACAAATGGATTGGGATATGGTTTCCCCTGCATGGTAGGAACTGTTAGCAAACCGATCGAGCAGAACTGCAGCTATATAGAATCAACGAACCGTAATAACATTCCAGAGCCGTATCGACTTATCGTCCGAGCCGGAGGCAATGGTCTCTCCATCCGGACTCCAAGATATAGTAGAGATCCCTGCCAGGTGTCCTTCAAAGGTGTGGATCAGGCTTCCTGTTGCCGTATTCCATATTTTAATCGTGGCATCGGCAGCTAGTCCATGAGGTTAGTGGAGATGCCACTGAAGTTAGAGAGCAGAAGCCAGTCTTACAGCAACTTGCTACCATCGTCCCATCGGGCGAGAATTTCACGGCAGAAACCCCCCGCTGATGGCCCTTTAACACAAACTTCTCCTGATAATGCAGTCTTTCTGGCTGAGGCGTCGGCTGAGGTGTCTGTTCCTTGGGAGTCCCATCGCGTCTCCGAGCTTTACGCCCTTCACCCTCCGATTCACTCTCTGTGAATTCCCGCCCCCGGTTATCCTTTGACCCAGGATTGGACTCATCTGCTCTTCTCTCCTTGGACATCGACCTTGACCTACTCCTTGCACCGCGAGAGTGAGACCGTGATCGTGATGGTGACCGCGAATGAGACGCGGGCCGAGACCGCCACGACGCCCGTACATCCCCCGCCAGTTCATCGTCGCTGCCTGACGCACTTCGCGACCGTGACGACTGCTTATCAGGACGATAGCTCGGTGAGTGCTGCCGTGAATCTCTGTTCCAGCTGCCCCTTCGCCGCTCAATGTCTGCGTTGCCTGCTAGCTCGTCCGAGGAACCGTCGCTGGATCGTGGACTGCCATCATCCAGTCTGCGTTTCTTCGTCGGAGGGACCTGTTCATCCATCGCTGAAACCTCTCTCCCTTCGCCTCGTCTTCCTCCCTTTCTTCTCTTTCTTCTCGTTTTCTTCTCGAGATTGATAATGGCAGAATTAAGCTTTCATTCTGAAATAGCCAATCAAATCGCATTATCTAAAAGCGGTCAGTAAGTGTTTATTTGTGTCACATGACATGCGGCTCTATTTAAGGGTATTAGGTAATCAATACAAGAAGCGCGCTGAAACAGCTTTTACAGTGCGGGCTTGACGGGATATAGAATATGTATAGGTAAAGATGTATAGATAAAGACATAGGATATGCTAGCTGCCTATACCTATAAGTATAGACTTGGCCGTCTTTTTGGTGCGTGAACGAGGAGTGATCACGTGATACGCGGCTCTCAGAACATTTTGATAAGCCGAAAAAGGAAATAAAGAACGACTTTGGGAAATTCTTTGCATCTTCAGGGAGTTTTTTCGCTTCTTAGAAGTATTGCGGTGTGATTACCGTCGCGAAGAAGGCAAGACATATTCTGCGCAGTATACATCAGCCTCTCCAGCCCCTGATACAACGGTGGCCGCCAATTCCTCGCACGGGCGACACGATCAAACGACCCAGTTGTGGGGAACCGGTGTTTCGCGCGCCCGTTCGAGCCCATCGTCAACCATGACCACCCAGCAGCATAGCGATGAGTCGCCGCATAAAATCAATATCATCAGCTTCAACTGCTGGGGCTTGAAGTTCATCTCCAAGTACCGACGCGAGAGACTGCTGGAGATCGGTAAACGACTCGCAAATGCCGATTTCCCACCTGAGATAGTTGGGCTGCAGGAATGCTGGACCCAGGAGGATTACAATGCGATCCGTAACGAGACGAGGCATATCCTGCCGTACGGCAAGTTCTACCACAGCGGAATATTCGGTGGGGGACTCGCGATCCTGTCGAAATGGCCCATCGAGGAGAGCAGCATGTTCCAGTACCCGCTTAACGGACGGCCCACTGCGTTCTTTCGAGGAGACTGGTTTGTTGGTAAGGGGGTGGCATACGCGAGGATAAGAATTGGCCCTGGTTCAAAGGACGTTGCTGCTGTCTTCTGCACGCATCTACATGCTCCTTATGAGCGGGAGCCAAACGACTCGTACATCTGCCATCGCACAGCTCAGGCATGGGAGATAGCAAAGCTGATGCGCGGTGCCGCCGAAAGAGGCCATCTTGTCATCGGCCTTGGAGACTTTAACATGCTACCCTTGTCCTTTGCCCATCGCTTGATCACTGCTCACGCGCCGGTGAGAGACGTATGGCGCTACTTGCGACCAGAGTCGTCTATTGGAGCAGCGATTGATGACGTCGAAATCGCGCGCAACAGACCAATTCCAAGCGCAGACTTCAATATACTCGAGAACGGTGCCACCTGTGATGGAGCATTCAATACCTGGCGATGGTCCAAGGAAGATCAGAAGCGGATAGCTCGAGAGGGCCACATCAGTGTTGACGGCAGCCTGCCGGATCCATATGCGAAGAGGCTGGATTATATCTTCGTTGGGAACGGCTCATACCTCAATCACGACGATGATGGCGTTCACTCATCCTCGTCATGGAAATGGAACATCCACTCCGCCCGAGTCGGCATGATGGAACGTCATCCAACACTTCACTGCTCTCTGAGTGACCATTTCTCGGTCGAAGCAACCGTCGTCAGAGCTCACCCACCCGTTCATCAGGCCAAGAGGAAACCATCCAGTCAAACGGACGACGATGAGAATGCCCCCTTCCTACCCATTCAAAGCCATACCGGACCGAACACAGCTATCAATGATTACGCCATATTACGGCAGACCTCTACTCTGCCCCCAGAAGCTACCAAGCAGCCCATCCCCGCCTTATCGGCCGATGTATACGACGATATCCTAGACATGATATCTGTGTACATGATCCGCGAAAGGTTCCAGCGGCGAGCAAGGCTAGGCCATTTCCTCTTCTCAATAGTACTGTCCATCGGATGTTTCATTGGAGTATGGTGGACTCGCCATCGATATGTCTCTTTCATCCTCTGTCTTGTCAGCACGCTCAGTTTGTCCGCTGGTGTTATTGACGGACTGATCGGCGGGTTGTTCGTCAGCAGCGAGATTCGTGCTCTAAAGGAGTTTCAATGGGAGATAAAGAACACTAGAAGGACGGTGCTGGGGCTTGGCCTCGATATAGAGGAGGATCTAAGGTCGCCGAAAAAGAGTGCCTATTGACAGACGGTATACTTTTTGATCGGCGGCTCTCTACTTCTGTTTGTTTGCCTTATGGAAGGACTGCTAGCCCGTAATGACACTAATGATATGACACATATATAAGGGCAGCGAAACTTTTAGATAAATAACTGCTAATGATCGTATATATTGTTTATAGTTTACCTTGGACCACCATAATGGAACTTTTGTCAGACCAGGTATCATTCTCAATACACAATATTCCTCAGCGATCATTCAGTTTTTAGTATCGTCGTCACAAATGAATAAATACATTTCGAGAGGAGCACTTATGCGGAGCACTCCTTCTTTCTCTCCTCAAAGACCTCGAGGGCAACCTCGGCCGCCTTGAGACCACTGAGCATCATGGCGGAGAAAATGGGGCCCATACGGTGCCATCCATCGATCTCCGAGAGTTCCATTCCACCGATGATCAAGCCCTTGGTGACTTCACGGGTGTTCTTGACGATGGCCTCCTCGGCAGAATTCATGTCCAGACCCTTCATGCCACCAAGCTTCTCGAGAGCAGACATGGAGACAAGACGCTTGGCGCAGAAAGCTCCGAATGGGCCATCGTGGCCGGTGGTGCTGATGATCAGAGGAGCGTTGATGGTGTTGGGGTCCATGCAGGAATGATCGTCGTGGTGCTGGGTGACCAGGGTCCAGTTGGTGACGACACCGGCAATCTGGAAGCCAGAGGCCTCAGAGGCGCGGGGGCGGGTGATGAGGTCCTCGACGCAGGTAGCGTTGAAGAGCTTGATGTTGGGGAAAGAGAGGACCTTGGAGAGAAGGGTAGAGGTGAAGAGGGCGGCGTGCTTGATGACGACGAGGTTGGAGTTGCTGGCATCCTCCTCGTACGGGACACCCAGGTCGTCGAGGAAGCGGTGGGCAGGCTTCCTCAGGACCATGGCCGAGAAGAGCTGGCCACCGAGCCAGGCACCACCGCCTATTCCTCGTTAGTCATTGGCCGCGTTATTTCCTATGATGGTAGAGGGGATGACGTACCAGGAGAGACGGAGGCTTCGATGAGAGCAATCTTCAGGTCAGGACGGGCCTTGCCGAGGACATAGGCGGTGCTCAGGCCGCAGGAGCCGGCACCAACGATGACGATGTCACTCTCAGCGTAGGTGTCCATGTCCTTGAAGTAGCGGCTGGTCATGGCACGGGAGACCTGGCTCTCACGGATGGGAGCAAACTTGAAGTCCTCCCACTTGCCGGCAAAATCGTCCAGGAGAGCATAGCCGGAGCCAGAGTTAGACTGGGCCAAGGTGTTACCCTCACCGGCGAAGTTGTCTCTCACGACATTGCCAACAGAGGCCACAGTCTCAGTGAGGGTTGCAGTTGGTGGAGGAGCCATCTTTTCTTTTAATTCAACGAATTGGTCACGATGGAAGAAGACTAGACGAGGTTAGACTATCCCAACAGCAGTGTATATCCTCCCTCTGGAGATAAACAGAGGGAAGATAGGGAGGGAAGAGGAGGGGGAAGAAGCATGATCCTTTCGCTGGTATTATCCAGATCAAGTTCGGACCGTATAATTTCAGAACGAAGTCCATGAGCAGTCATCCCCGCCATTGAGGCCATCTCTCTTCTTTCACCATACGAAGACAGGACGAAGAGTTGGATGGCCAGCATACGGTAAAGACGAAGTCATACAGGACAACGAACACCGGTTCATGCACACGATTGTTGATACCTTGACCATGCATTGGATGTTCTTCCCAGCATCTGGGGATTCATGACCTCCATCTTATGAGAGAGATGTACCGGTCTTGATATATCGTCGGCCTATACGGGTGGTCAGTAACTGCACGGAAACAGCAGGGAGAAAAAGTCGACGAAGAGTCACCTGTGAGTCTCGATATCGAGGTACTATGGAAAGAGATGGAAGCAACTTGACACTGACTTCTCAGACTACGAAGTTGATATCTTGATGAGATGAAGAAGAAGAAGAAGAAAACCTGCCGCGGGGTTTTTTGTCTCTTTTTATAAAAACTAACCTGGTGGGGGGTTTAGTCATCCAACATCAGGGATGTTTTATTGATATAAGAAGTATGCATACTATGTATATAGAAGAGACAAGATTTCCTCTTTTCTTTTCTTCTTCTTATTATATGACAGAATGAACAAGGACAGGGAGTAAGAGGTTGTCCCCAGTCAAAAAGTTAGACGGAGCTTGCCCGGTTGTCTCTTGAAGAGGTGAAGAAGATGGCTATACCACAGTAGATACGACTGTGGGAAGCGCTAAGATGCTAGCTTTCGCTTCACTGGCCCATTAGCAGCTGGATAATATCTATTAGTGAGAGTTTCTGGTGATGGTTAGTCGGGTTATCAGAGCTCTGGTGGCCTGCTTCACTGCTGAAGATGAAGGTGGTGGCTGTATAGATCTATAAAGACATATCATGTCACCGTTGATTGTGTGAAGCAAGGAAGGATGCCAGTCTATATATTTGCCATAGACATGGACTCTCTCGAGATCTAAAATCCTTTTCTATCAGACATCCACATTGATCTTGCTACTATCCCTAACCCCTGCACGTCATTACCAGGGATCATGTCCTTTACTCACAGCGATTCAGACACAGAAGTGGATAGGAGTACCACCAACCCAGCAGCTGCGGAAGATGACGGAGCCGCTGTCATTGCAGAGCTGGAGGCCGCCATGGCTGCCAACCCAGGCTTGAGACCCGTAACCCCCCAGCCGGCAGAGTGGGAGGATTACGATACCATCCTTGCCCAGAACCCAGACATCGCCAACCCTGTTCCGGGGCGGAAGAAGGAATTCTTCCTGTCCAAGGATAGGTGGGAGTGTGGCCATGAGGGAGATCCCGTCGAGACTGCCATAGAGCGTGATGCCTCGCGGGGTGACGAGCCGACCATCCTCGTTAACGATGTCAGAGGCATATGTGGGGCTTGTATGGATAAATGGCGGAGACTCGAGTCTGGCGGACCGCAGCCAGCAGCTCAAAACAGTTCGTCTTCTTCTGGGCTGCCTTCATACGATCAAGCATGGGAAGCTTCAGGTTCTGCCGCCCCTTCACGGGCTCCAGGGCTTCTTCTAGACCTGGACGACTCGGATATGGATAGGAATGGCAGCGAGGATGACTATGACAGCCTGTCCGATGCATCCGAGGGTTTGCTTAGCCCTCCTGCTGGTCCACCGCCGGGCCCTGGTCAAGGTGCTAATGCTTGCTCATAGGGTGATGCGATTTTTTATATTTTTTTAGTTGGGGGGGGGGTTGTTAGATGGGTTTCGATATTTGATACTAGAATTGAAGCCCATGCTTTGGTGCAGGACATCTCAGCGTAAATCTGTAAATTCCGAATGTAGGACCACTAGATGCAGTCCAGCTCAGTCTCTACCTTAAATCTCCAGTCCTCTGCTTTATCAGACTGCATATACTCGTCTTTCTTGCCCGTCCTCTTGATCTTCTTCAACCCTGCGGCGACAGAGTCCCCATCAAACGAAGGATGCTTTGAGTCTGGGATTTTAGCCACTAGATGCAGTATATGCTTGGTGAATCCCTTCTTGGTCTGACGATGAGACAGTCTCGCCGAAAAGGAGATTCTTGGATTATGGCTGCTAACCAGTCCGGATGGATACATGTTGCCTATGAGACCAGCAACGCGCCCGATATACTGACACCACCACGCCTCCTGTACGGTGACTATCGACCGGATCCTCTGTAGAAACCCCTCGTCGCAAGGGGATACATCACCTGTCCATCTGTCAAAGAGGGCAAGACAGAGCATGGCCCGGTCTGAGTGCGAGAGACCGTGGGCGTACGCGAGGATGCCGGTGGTCGTCGAGTGTAGAGCCGTAGCTGCATATGACTCCCGCGGGACGGACGAGTGTATATACATGGAGTTTGCAAGGGACTCGATAAATCCTGTATCTGTGATTGCTCGCGGAGGTGCATAAGGGTTCGAGTTTTCGTTCCCTGCAGCATCCACGGCCGGGATTGCCTGCCGCAGCAGCACAGCAATCTCAGAGGCAGAGCGAGTCTTGAACGGAGAGGTTGCGTGAATGAGCGGATGATGCAGTCGTATTTCGGGAGCCAGCTTGTCGAAGAGGATGCCTTCACGCACTCCTCCCTGGCAGAAGTGAATCTTCTTTATGGATGGGATACTCTCTGCTAGGACATTGATGAGAAAGGCGACGGCAGGCACCTGCGTCGCCCTGCGGGCCGAGACGCCGTATATCGTCAACTGAGAGGACAAGGTACCAATGGCCGCAGACGTGTCGAGGAACTGTGATCTGTCGGTGCTGAATCCGTTCAGGATCGGAATGGGATAAGGGTTGATGGAGGACTGGCTGAGCAGCAGGTATCCCCATCCCCTGAAGCCACCTCCGCTGAGATAAAGATCGAGACCGCCGTCATCCTCCAGTAACTTGGCCCGTAGGCTCGATGGAAGCTCGAGATCAGCCACGGCGCCTCGAAAGCAGCTGAGCATCTCGTCCTTGAGCTGTCGTACCGCCTCCTCTCCCTTTCTCTGCGCTTCATCCAGCCTCCTGGTCAACGCAGCTGCTCCGTACGGGAAACTGATAGACCCGCCAGGATACGACTGGATCTCAGCACTCTCCGGCGTAAACATCATCCACGAGAGCTGTACGCTGCCGCCGCCGAGATCCATGACCAGACCCTCGACGCGGGACAGGCTGGACGCAATCCCCAGCCCTCCGATTCGCCCCTCCTCTTCTTTCGGGAGCATGGTCACCTCCCATCCGGTAGCCTGGTAGATGGCAGATCGGAACTCGGCTGAGTTGGGCGCAGTCCTGGTCGCCTCCGTAGCGAGCACCTGGACATTCGTAGGCGGCACCCCAAAGTCCTGGCAGGTCACCTTGAATCTCAGCAACCGTGAAACAATCTGGTCCCGGACTTCATCTGGAATCGGCCTTCTGGTGCTACCTTCAGCTCCAAACTGCGCGTCATAGAGCGAGATGCCTGCGCGGTCTTGGAAGACCGTAGGCATAATCCGCTGCGTAGCAGCAGACAGATCAGAGATCGAGAAGCGAATTCCGTTACTTATATACTCCGTCAGTCTATCTCTTCACACGGGATACATGCTATAGCATATATTTACCTGCCCATGTCGACGACGGCATGAAGATGTTGGCCGTCTCGAGTGTCTATCGACTTGAACGCTGCGGACGCCATGCTGATAACTATGCCTTGACTTCGAGATAACAAACAACTGATCGGTGTATTTATTCTATTCAACTATCCATATATCATATATGTCACATATATAGTCTATGTCAAGCGGTTTAGTATGGATATAACCTAGGCGGAGATAACTTTTTCCCGCCGTTTTTATACGTCTATTTAAGAGTCGATATTTAATAGTTATATCTTTTCAGCTATCAAATACGTCAATAGAGGTGCCATCGACATATGTTTGTGGTGCTATAGGTCGTGTACGCCTCTATAACTACGCCTATATCCAACATCTACATCCCTACGGACTGGTGAATCCTCATGCAGTCCAAGTCCGACTTGTCCTTTTCATGGATATCCGTCTAGCCTCGCCTTTGCGAGCATCTGTGTATCCTGATGTGTGGATATCAGTCTAGATGCATGAACTCCTTCATATAGAGCGCTTTATGCTTGCACATCTATGGCTGTAGGAGTAACTGTTGGTGCTATGTGCTACAGCAAGGCTCCATACATTCTCATTACTCCATGTGTTTGTACCTCCTGGATCTCTTTCAACGAGTTCAGGATGTATATTACGTCCGTTTCTCGCTTATACCTTTGCTAGACATGTTGCTCTATATCCACGATCTAGAGTCGGGCATCCTAGTACCCCCTCATGGTCCATCATTCTCTAAAGATGTAACCGCCAGACAATGACTCTGGGCTGCATCATTCTGCTGGGGCTCGCTTCCCATATTCCTCCCTACAATTATCAACAGTATGGGGTTTTCAGCAGCCACTTCCCAAGGCCTCACCGCGCCGCCATATCTATTCGCTGCCCTTGTTACCATCGCCCTATCATGGTATTCTGACAAGTACCGGCAGAGAGGTGCGGCCGTTATCTTTTCAACCTCTATAGCTGCCGTGGGCTACGCGATAATGGCGGCTTGTGAGCTGGTTTGGCCCTGCTACTCGGTATTCTTAGCTTCTGCCAGTTTATTTTCCGGGGCAGCGAACCTCGCGCCGTTGGTCATGAGTATGTACCTCGATACGTGAAGGGCAATGCAATCTGTGCTGCAGTCATGTTCACCCAGTGCGTTCTCGCAGTGATATACCGCTGGTTGCTGGCGGGAAAGCACCGCAAGCTAGACGGATTACATGGAACACTGGAAGAGCGAAAGCTAGAGAGCAGCCTTAGGGAGAACGAACGGGTTGCTGGTGGAGAGAATTATGGCCCCAGTCTTGGGTACATTCTTTAGATGAGAGAGAATACCAATGATGATATTTGGACGGAATGAATTCAGCTTCAGAATAATAGACGAATGAAGGCATTCATTGGACACTCTGCTTTCTCTCCGATGAACCCGCCTCGGCCAGTTGAATTGAATTCTCGGGATAACTGCAAAGTCTTCGACTGGGTGCCAGCCTATGCACATGAAGCGCCTTCATCCCCAATAACACAGTTCATTCCAAAGTCGCACGTCTCCATCGTCTCCCATTTCGCCCCATCGCACTTCTCGATTCTTTGCAATCTAGGCACCGCCCCCGCGCTGATCTCATGGCTCATGCAGCGATATTCACCCTTCTCGCAAGCTGTTGGTTCGGCAGGGGTAGGAGTGGCCCTAGTGACGGCCATCATGGCAGCCAGGGCGCTGAAGATTGCAGTGAAACGCATATTGATGTCAAAGTGCCGGATCTTATTTTGACCTATGAAGACTTCTATGAGTGAATGATTTGACTGGGCAAGGAGATAGTACAGGGTTTACCTGTCTATGAGGCCTAAAGTAGACTGTATGTCTGTTGGAGAATGATTCGGAGGGTGTCTCTGATGAGAAGATGAAGGCGTAGAAGACCTCATCCTCGGACTATTTATACCATATCCGACGGATAGAGACTGAAAGAATCTCACCATCTTCTCATGTTACCTGCTCTTCTCGGAGGTCGTTAGCAGTTCATTCATGATATCAAGGTTGACATTCGGTACCCATCCCGTTCCTCTTGTCTAATTGTAGTATACTATAATGAGCTCATCCCTTTCCGAAGCATCTGAGTTGACATGCGCTGTACCACTTTATTGGCGGGTATTATAAGGGACCTGGCATGCTGTCAAAAAGGGGTTAATTCTGGTTTATTGAACTCGAGCTGCTGGAAAGGGTATAAAGAGCCTAGTGAAGTCAGGTATCCTTGCATATGTGCGAGCGTCTCTTTGACATTAAACCCCATATTTCTCCATTTCTACCCAAGGGATAAGTCTTCTAAGAAAAAACTAGTATTAATTACTATGAAGGCTTATGGCTCAAATACTGGTAACATAACCATAGTGCATTTATTTCACAGGCGGCTTGGTGATGATACAATATATTAAGCACCGTAGATTTATCTGAGTCAGTCGTCTATCCATACACCGCGCGTGCATTGAATATAATAAGAAAAGGAGGACAAAGAGATCAGGAGATGAAGGAGGAAGGGAGTATCAATGCAGCATGGAATACATGTTGTCGTCTCTAGTTGACAATATTCTCAGAAACGTTTGAAAACTCGCCCTTCTCTAGCTTGGTGTTCCAGAAAATAGGGTTCGTGTCGCTGAATCCATGTTTCACCCATCCCTCCTCCTTGACGTGGTATAAGTTGATAAAGCCACCAGAGTAGGCATCTCTGTGTGTGGCAGCAAGAATACTTCTAGACCCAAGAGCGAGGGCCTCCTCCTCCGTCAAGTCGTATCGGTACTCCGCATCCAGCACGCCATATGCGAATGTCTGACCAGATCCAACGCAGAACAGGTTTCCTGCTAATCGAGTGCCATCGGAATCGATATAATACAGCGCAGGACCTTCTTCGGGTGTGACACCGGCGCACATAGTCCCCATACTGAGGCCCATTCCCTTGTAGTTGTAGACCAGGTTGGCAAGGATCTTAGAGGCGGCAGCAACGGAGATACGGCGTTTATGTCGGAGCTCGTGAAGACGGCATTGCATGCCCAGGTATGCTAGCCAGTATTGGCAGTCCTAGGAGCATATTAGACGGCCCAAGAACAGTTTTCGTAAGGGGGAAATGAAATGTAGGCGACATACGGCAGCACCACCGGCCATGGTCCCAAGCAGACAGCTGTTGATCTCAATGACCTTCTTGACGGTCTGGCTGGCTATCCAGTTTCCTGCCGTGGCTCTCGAGTCTGTAGCCACAATTATACCCCCCTGGAATCTAAAAGCGAGGGTTGTTGTACCGTGAGCAAGCTTGATAGGGCAATCTGGGTTGGAATGGTCGTCTGTCGTTGCTCGTAGGAAGGCGGATGGCTAAGCAAGGACTGTCAGTATATATAATGGAAAGGAGCTTTACAGACTAGCTCACCCTCTCGATAGGTGGAAGAGAGAATCTGAGAGACAGCGGAGGAGCTCTCTCTAGGACATCTTGCTGCTCGCTCTCATGGTCGCCTTGGAAGCTCGACGGCCGGGCGTACTGGGCGACGAGGGTGTCCATTTTGCTGTCCCAAAGTACAAATATGATTACCAAGCCTAGCAAAACTGAACAAGCTGCAAAAAGGACCGAATATCAGCTGCTGTGAAGGTCGGGAAGATGTTGAAGCTGTTTATTTGTTTGTTCCTTGAGCTTTCTTCGCCTTCTTGAGCTTTCGCGTTCCTTTTGCGGCCTGGGTCACGTGATGATATCGACTTGTCAAATCAACTTTTCGGCTTCACAGCTAGAATACGATGACGGGGAGCTGATGTTTACACTCACCAGCCATGGAGTGTCTACGCCGTTTAAGTAGGTGTCTGTGACATCGCAGGCCAGCTCTTCCAAAGGATTTCTCAAACGTGCCCTATCAAACCATTGATACTAGTAAATCTATCGAAGAAGAGAGACTACCCTTCTATGAGCATGAACAGTTTTACCCTGTTCATATCGGCGAGGTATTCAATTCGAGATATCAGGTGGTTGGAAAACTAGGCTACGGGGCATATTCGACTGTTTGGCTCTGCCATGATCTGGTGTATGTCCATCAGATTCTGATTCCTTAACTGAGATACTAAATGTTTGAAAGGAGGCATAGATATTCAGCAATGAAAATATCAACACAGTTAAGGAGATTCCCGGAAAAGAAACGCGCAGAACTTGTAGCTTACAACCATCTTCAAAAACTCGATTCATCACACCCGGGTACGGTGCATATTCGGAAGCTGTATGATTCGTTTGAGATTTCTGGCCCGCATGGATCTCATCAGTGTTTGATACAGCAACCAATGCATCTAAGTATTCTTGAAATGATGGATTTAAACCCTGAACCGCTCAATGCTCCCCTACTGAGAATGATATTGAAACGTCTTTTGAAAGTGCTGGACTTCCTTCACACTGAAGCTGGAATGGTACACACAGGTAGTAGCTATTCTATGCATTGATAGAGATTTACTAATATATACATATAGACTTAAAAGCGGATAACTTGATGCTTACTGTTGAAGACAATTCTATGCTTGAGGATTTTGAAAAAATAGAGCTAGAAAGCCCGACTCCGAGAAAGGTAATAGATGGGACTCGATCCATATACAGATCTCGCTATTTCACTAGGCCCAAAAATGGCGACTGGGGGTATCCAATGCTATGTGATTTCGGAGAGGCTCGAATAGGAACTATTCATCATACCGGAATGACTGTTCAACCTCATATATACAGAGCCCCGGAGGTAACCCTCGAGATGCCTTGGGGCCCAGCTGTGGATATATGGAATCTTGCTACATTGGTAAGGCTATATTTTGCCATATAATGGATGCATTTACTCATGGTATACGCTAGATCTGGGATCTTTTCGAAGGCAGGCATTTATTCAACGGTGTGACAGATAGGGATGGTGACTATGACCCATTTGCGCATATGGCTCAAATTACTGGATTCCTAGGACCACCTCCAAAAGAGTTTATCCAGAGAAGCAAAACAATCTCACAAGTTTTCGATGCCAATGGTACGCGATTCACCCCGGTTATTTTGTGGGGGATAAATTTCCTAACATTGACTTGTATAGGCAAATGGGTGGCTGATCATTACGAAAAAGTGCCATCTGTATCGTTAGAAGATGTGGAAACCCGTCTAGAGGGGCAGGATAAAGAGTTGTTTTTAAAATTCATCCGATCAATGCTAGAATGGCTTCCGGAAGACCGAAAAACAGCAAAAGAACTTTTGGATGACCCGTGGTTAAATATTGAATGAGGCACTGCAATCGCTATATTCTTTTATTAAGTACACCTACTAACCTTTGCTCTGCGGCGACCGGCATGGTATTAAATAATATATAATGAGCCTCGACTGACTATAGAAGTGCTGATCCAATGCTAGGCCTCGACTTTGTTCCCTTGCATAACTTATACCTCTTTTGATCCTTTTTAGAGGGACGACGAGCCCCTAAACCTCCATCTCGTCCTTTGCTGAATCCCCGTTAACGCCATTGCCATTTGCCTGGGTCTGGATCTTCTTGGGGATGAGACCCTCAGAAGCCATGGGGATTGGTTCAAGATCAGGCTCCCACGATGCGAGGTCTGCTTCGGCATCCTCCATTATCTGGCGACTCTCCTCGGTCCGGTCGAATTTGTCTCGACTTTCTCCAGGGACTACAGGAGTATCGTCGATAAGAGAGAGCAGGCGGCGGCCGTGGCGAGCAAGCTGCACTTGCTTCTCAGCCCGCTCGATGGTGGCTGCAAGGTGCAGGTCGAAGGCTTCCTTGAACTTTTGACGGGTCTATAACCATGAGTAAGTGTTCTTCTTTTTTCTTAGGAGCGTGTGAGGAAGAAGGCATTACCATGTTTGTTAACTGGGCTTCCGCAACCAATGCTCGAGCTTCGGCGCGGACAAGTTCCTGCTCAAGGCTGGTGACCTTCGCACCGTCTGGGTCACGCAGCTTATTCTTCTGGATCTCGTCAATAATCTTCGCCTTGTGGTCTCTGGCAGGCTGAACGGAACCCTCTGTGTTCCGGATATGCTTCAGGACGAGCCTTGCGTCCTCCAGGTTATACGAGAACAAGTCCTCCTGCTCTCCGATTTCAGACAGGATGATGCCTAGCTTGTCTGATATCTCGGAGACCGCTGGATCTCCGGTGTTGAACCCCCAGTTTGCCAGTTGAGAAGCCACCTCGACACGGTCACGGCCTGCGTTCTTGTAGGAGCTGATGGCATGGCTCTCCGTCTTGATCATCTTATACAGATCCTTGCTCAGCTCAGGCTGCTGGATGCCTCGCAGCGATGCCATGGTGAAGCGGTGCCTCAATGGCTCTGGCCCAGTAGTATGCCGCGTGCGATTCCTATAGATATCAACATCTACCCCATAGCTGTCCTCTCACTTTCACGTAGCACTTACATATCTGCCTTTGTAGACACTTTTCTTGATAAATATGTACTCTCCCGGTTCAAGCAGAAGAACAAAGTAAACACTACATGATATCAAGAAGCAGGCGAAAGTCTTCTCGTCTTCTCCTTCCCGTATACTTCCATCTTGTGACGTCATGTGCCACTCGCGGAGTTCTTCCATATGTATATAAAAGGGAGTACTAGAGGATAGATGGAGAGCTCAGTTCCATGGTAGACGGCGAGCTAGACCTCAGTTATCTTCGTTTGTCACTGGCGGGTTGCCATAGCTGACCCAGACGTAGATATATACATACTACTGCACACTATGGATGTAGACTGCAGGAGTTGTTACACATCTCGAGTATTATGTTGAAGAGTAACTATTATAACCGAGATTTAAACGACTGACAATCTGTTCGATGCAAAAGCCAGCGTGAAAAAGGGGGGTATAACATGCAATTTAAATCAAAAACGCCGCAAGGGTGAACCAAGTAAACCAATATCAGAAACGAGAGAATAAGCCAGCACCAGAATCACAGACACTCTTAACTCCATTCTCCTAAATGCACCAGAGAGAATTCCGGCTATCACATCGCATCACCATCCATTATCTCCATAGTAATACCCGTCAGGCCGCATTTCCCTAAACTTCGACGGCTGGCACGTCCTATACTGGGGCTCTCTCGGCTTTCTGCTTCTAAGACGAGGCAGTTCGTAGCGGCGCGGCCTCTGGGAGACGCGGACTCGCTGATACTCCATCCTATAATGGTAGTGGCTGTAGATGGAGAAGGCTGGGCCACCCTCGCAGTACGGACGGTCGCCGAAGTTGCCCAGTTCCAGCCGAGAAGGGTAATCGGAAAAGAGGTACGTTGATCGTCGTTGGAGTCGACATGGCTTCTTCTGTATCCCACGGCGTGGCTCTATGAGCGTAAAGCGAGGCAGACACTTGCATACGAGGACACACTGGCACATCTTGACGGCCTTGCGAGGAAGTGCTGGATTGGCTGTCGACGTCGATGGCAGAAGCTGGTAGTGATGTACTTGGCTTTGGTATGATATTCTGTTTGTCCTATAGTTCCTTGTGTGAGAGAAAGGGTATACAAAGACAGCCAAGAGAGACATGTACCTCGATATAGCGTTTGTATATATATGGTCTCAGGTATCTTCTAACGAAGGGACGGGGGGAAGGGAGACGGTTAGCTGTCTTCAACGGGCGTGCTGATAACTAGTTATATAGTTTAGATCTATATATCTGGGCCGTGACCTGTTCACTCGGGGTATAACGATGACTTGAGTGAACCGGGAAGAGCAAAACGACGAGGTCATCTAGTTATTTATATCAGAAGATGCATGGTCACTCTTCCTACTACATTCATCTTTCATGTTTAGCAGAAACTTGCCATTCCGCTGGCGGAGCACGTTCTGCCTGTCCATCGCCAGCTGTCTGTCTGTGTCTCCAGGCAGCATAGCGGTCGTCCAGCGGTCGACAAGGGTAGATATATAGAGAACAGCCTCGTCGAGTGCCCAAAATGCGGCGCATCCTCTATCTAGACCCGTCCTACAGTGTATTTTGCATGAAATAATAGTTTATCCGCCGTGGTTGTGATGACATCACGGGTCGATGGTTTCTTTTTCTTCTTCCATATCAGCCACAGACTTGGAGAGGCAGTGCAAGGGGGACCCAAACCAGTTGATGACATCCAGTCAACTTACCAGCCAAACCAGTCAGTTAAACTGTCTCGTGGATTCCTTGCATGGACAAAGTAAAGTCGCTTATGGTCGCTAGGCATCCAACCACTTCCCGCGCGTGGGTGGATCTGAACATGGCTTGTTGTCCAGGGGAGCGAAGGGAAGAAGCCCGATAGATGGAGACTGGCGAGGCTTAACTCTTCGGTCCTGCATGAAAGAAAGCATATAGAACTTGTCTTCGAGCATCTTCTAGACGATGCCGGTAGATTCGGCATAGAATCCCTGCCTCTCTGTCGGTTGGTGGTAGCCCTTCGCGATGATATCAGATGAATGTACCAAAAGTCAGGACATGCCAATATAAGAAAACCATGACGACGTTCACCGTTCCAAGATACAAGTACAATCAATAAAATAGTCGTAGAGAAAAAATTAAACAGAGACAACATAAAAAATAAAAACAGGTGCACGCTTCCAAAGTAATTTTGCCTGACTCCAGAATCCTCCCTCGTAGTCGTACAGCTGACCGTCTACGCGATCTCGTCCGTCTCATGATGGTGCTCCCCCATAGTCCCTTCGGTAGCATGGAAGGCGTCGCCAAACGCAGAGTCGTCTAGGCCGCCCATGTCAAGGCCGCCGACGTCTCCTTGGTAGTCCGCCAGAGCTTCGCCGGCGGTGTTGATGTTGTCATCTTCAAACTCCCCCGTGGTTCCAGGCGTGGCTCCGGACGTTGTAGCATCTGCGGCGAGGACGGGAGCTGGTGTCCCCTGGAGAGTTGTGTTGGGCGCTCCACCAGCCGGCTGCTGTGGGTTTGCGTTTACCCCTGGACCGACGACCTTGGATGGAGACGAGGAGGATGCCTGGCCATCTCTATTATTCACCATCACCCAGTCTGCATCTCCTTCGGCCAAGGCGGCATGTGATGGAGCAGAGTCGACACCGCTCATGACCACGTCTTCGCTGGTCTGCGGCGCCGCAGCGGAGGGCTGTGGCGGTGCGGCCGGTGATGGCATCGGCTGCGAGGCCGTTGATGTAGGGACGTCTTGTGCAGACTCCGCTTCAACGGTGGAACTGGTTGCTCTGTCATACTGAGCATAGGGTGCTGTGCTGATCAGGTTGGCCTCTGGTGCGGCGAGCTCGGGAGGAGGCGGAGGAGCCTGCTTTGCCCGCTCCTGTAGTCCCCCTTTCTCCAGACACTTGATCTCGGTGATGGGGACAACCGTCCTCCCCCAGCTGGCCTGTAGCCCGTTGACAATGTCATCTACCTTCTTCTTGAGCGGCTTGTCGCTGTAGTCGACGGGCGACATTCCCTCCTCGTGCTCTGGGCGCAGACGGCCCTCAACCCTCCAGATCTCATCACCGACGTCCGACGGGTCGATGGCGGCGTCTCGAAGGTTCAACTCGGCCTCCCTCAAGGCCGACAGCTTCTTTATCTTCTCCAGCTTGCGGGCATGCTTCTTTCTCATGCTTTCCATCTCCGCATTCATCTCGGCCAACCGTTTGGCGACAGCGCTGGCAAAGTCTTCAGCCTTCTCGGGGTCCATCTTGCTGGTAGCTGGCGGTGGTCCATCGCTGCCTTCTCTGGGATCTTTGCGCTGGGATGCCAACGTGCCAGGAGTGTAGAAATAGCCCTTTGTCAGGCTCTCCAGCTCACCCATACGGCCGAGTCCAAGGTCGACAGGCAGGATCTGGTCCATCCGATAAGGTGAAGCGAAGATCTCCTCCATCCATTCGTGGTGGTTCCGGTAGCGCATGCGACTGATGTCTCTCGGCGTGAGCGCATCGAGTATGTCTCCCGTTGACACTTCTTCATCGTCTAGAGAAAAGTCCGTGACAGCAGGCACCCCAGGCGCGGGTCCGGGCCCTCGCTGGGTGCGCGGGATCTTTGCCTGAACACCAGGGTAGCCGACGACCGGCTGCTGTTGCATGGGCGCGTGGGGAGCCTGCTGGCGGGCGATCATCTGCGCAGCGTAAGCCTGCGGATAGGCTTGCTGCTGTCCGTGGGGGGGCAAGTTGATCGTGGGCCAGTTGTTCCTGTCGTGGAGCATGAACTCCTTCCTGGCCAGCTGTCCCTGGCTCTGGATGTAGCGGCGCTGGCCAAGGACGTTCTGTGTCTGGGGGGAGACGGGGATGCGCGACACGGGAAGCTGGTCGATGGAGGGTGCTTTGCTGTACCAGACAATCCACAGAGACGGATCGCACGGTGGGAGACTCGGATTGGGCGTCTTGAGGCCGACCAGTCGAAATCGTCGCCGCGAGTGTGTTGCCATGTTCTCGTTTGGCGGGTGGTACCCCGTCCGGTGCATGTATACCTCGAGAATCTTGCGCAAAAAAAAGGTCAGCAACGAACTTAATCGAACAGCCAGTTCGTCAATTCATACATAGCCGCGCACTTCGGCCGTGTAGGCCTGCTCAACGTCAGCCCAGACGTAGCCGTCACTGGCGAAGTTGGTTCCCAGGTGGTTCAACGGCTGCCATGTCAGCATGACGGTGCCGTCTGGCGGGCCGTCGATGTAGGTCCAGTGCATCGGCTGAAGCTCCCTCACGATCTTGGGCGCCAGCAGCAGATATTCTAGCGCCGTCTCATGGCTGAACGCCGCCGTGGACGGGTACCTGTAGGAGGACACGAGGTGCATGTGCGGTAGCTATAGACCTGTTAGCCATGGCCGTTGTATGGGCGAAGGTCGTCACTCACAAGCTGTGGAGGCACACCTCCGGCCGGGTCCTGCATCCTGGCCGCTGGATGTTGTCGACTCATCGGTGTAAACGGAATATTCTGTCTGTCTGTCTGAATATTTCGCTTCTTGACAAAAAGTTGTTGCGCTTCAAAGTCGCGATTTTGAGGTTTTGATTTTGACGTCGATGTCACGTGATGGGAAGGGGAAGAAGCGAAGCAGAAGATGAGAGGAAGATGAGAGGAAGATGAGAAGAGAGAGAGAGAGAGGAAGATGAGAAGAGAGGAAGACGAGAAGAGAGGAAGAGAAGGGAAGATAATATACTTGCAGGATGCCTATACGGTGAAAGGAGCATCCTTATAGCCCACGTATATATCCACCGTCACAGAAGCTCTCCATGGCCTTTTCTCAACAGATATCTACCAGACGTCCCAAGAACAGGCTGGATACCGATTCCTGGCACCATGAGTTCCATCAGGCCCAGAGTCGCCGTTATACAGAACTACTCGTCTGCAGAGCAAGGTGGTGGGCGTATGATCGAGAACATCTCCAGGCTTGTCCGTTGCTCGAAGCCCAACGCTGAGATCCATGTCTACGCACCGATCGATGGCGAGCCGTTCCCGGATCTGTATGGTTACGGCCTGGTCATTCTCACCGGCGGGCCTTTCAGCCTGCTCCAAGACGAGAAGCCTTCGTGGGTGACGGAGACCTTGGACTTCATCAGGCATGCCTCCACGCATCCGGCTAAGCCGAAGCTCCTGGGTATCTGCTGGGGACACCAAGCAGCAGCCCTGGCCCTTGGTGGCTCTGTCGAAGAGCTCAAGACAGGTCCTTGTGTGGGCAGCCCCTCTTGGATGTCGGACGGAGATGACCGTGGCTGATGCAGTAGCTAGATTGGCGTTGAGACCATCTCGTTGACCTCGACCGGCGCAGCATTCTTCAATGCTGGATCGCTCGTACGTATCTATACAAGATACCTGACATCAGTCCAGGCCAACTGAAATACCCTTCTTAGAACATCCATAAAAACCACAGGCTTGCCGTGGTCGATGCCGGGCCTCGTCTCTCTCGCCTAGCTGCCAACCACGAGATCCTCACGTCAGAAGATGGCCAAATCGTCACCCTTCAAGGCCATCCGGAGCTTGATGCAGCCCTCTCCCAGCTGTTTGTGCACGCAGACGGGCTCTCGTGCTCTCTTCTGCCTGGGCTTAAGGGCATCCATGCGCCCCATGACGGCGAAGCCATTTTTGCGTCCATCATGAGATGGGCCATCTCTACAAGCGACGAGATATCTTAAAGTCATGTTCCTAGTTAGATATCGTTCAAGATCAATCGTACGTGTCGGTTCAGTTGTTTCAAACCACCGTAGACAGCATTTTTCATAGGTCTCAAAACAGGTTCAGACATCCAAAACAGGCCCGGACACTACGAAATGATCTCCCGATACTTGTAATGCTTGTTTTGTGGTCAGAGATAAAGAAAATATATAACTATGATCTATGAACTTGCTATACAAGATATTCGCAGGCTGTTTCCTCACTTGCCAGGCTTCCGATCACATCTCGGAAGTATCCAACCACATAATCTCCAGACGTCTGATCCATTACTTCGCTGGATATCGTCATGGTGATGGCCAACGTACCCCCAGAAGGAACGACAAGCACATTGGCCGTGGTGGAAGGGCGGTTTGGAAGGCTATACAGACCTGTTTCACAGGAATGGCCATCGAAACCACATGTCCATCCGCCGCTCGCAAAGTTCTGGAACCTCACAAAGCTCCCAAACGTTGTTCCGGCCTCCCAGGATGTGCAATTACGGGTGATGTCATCAAATCCAAGATTCCCGACAGGCATGGTTCGAATGTGTTGTTGCTGGACCTGATCAAGGAGATCAAATTTGTTCGACCCTGGAGTAAAGCGTACTCGCACAGGAATAATATTGAGGCATGGCCCAACTATGCGGTCTTCGTGCGGGATGCCAAACCCTCGACCATGTATGACCTGGCCAAAGACTACCTCGTTCAAGCCCTGCCCGCATCCACTTTGTTTCCGGGTTGGGGTAAACAACCGAGAGAGTGTGATTGCCCACGCCAGTTTGATCAGTGTTGCCATTGTGACGTTAGGCGGAGGAGAGACTGGTACAGTGTTTGCTGTTGCCGTCACCACTTTTGGTTGTTCTGACCTCATACCCGTTTTTGGCTTGTCTCTTCTGTCGGGTATATCCCGGTTGCGCGAAAATTCGTTTAAACTGGTCATTGGAGTCTTTCCCAGTACCTCCTTCCATATGCCGTAGATTTCCGGTGTCCTCTGACCCCGGAAATGTCGAATGTGGTCCGAAAACTGAGCACACGGTGTCAGTGGATTCCCGTTGTAGGCAGAAGTGAGATCACCGCAAATGGTACCCAACGAAATCCCATCGAATAACGCATGGGGTAACCGTAGGATTAGAAATGTCTTCAAGTCCCTCAAGGTTACAAACTGTACCTGGAATCCTGGCTTGCCATTTATAGGTACTTCCATGGCAAGAGAATCGTCTGCGCAGTGTTGCTCTAGGTTTTTGATGTCCGAATAATGAATAAAGCTGACTGGGGAATTTCGCAAAATCAGCTGTACGACCGACTTGTCACCTCTTGTGTAAAAGACGGTACGTAAGATAGAGTGTTTCTGGACAAGATTATTGCATGCATTTAATAGGCGTTCCTGATTGACCATATCAGGCAATGAGATCCATAGATACCGGCTGTAGAAGCTATGGAGTGTCATCGTTTGGAATTCGGTGGCCGCAATAGCCTCTACAACATTATCCTCAATCTCCGGCGGCAGATCGCAAGGAATATTTCCATAAGCAATTTCGCAATGGGGTGATGAATCCATGGTTGATTCAGATAGTTCACCACTGATAGGCCGACTTCTAATGGATATGCTATCATCTCCAGCCTCTTTAGCACACTTTGAAGCTATTTTTGAGAGGGTTTGTTGAGTGAATATATCGGCGACGGTCAAGTGTAGTCCTCGGCGCCTTGCAAGCATGGAAACACGCATAGCTGAGATTGAGTCTCCCCCAAGGCCAAAAAAGTTTGCATTCATGGGTATCGTTTTTGCGTCCATGTTGAGAGCTTGACTAATTATTTGTTGGATTTCCTGGCCATGCACAGTGGTGGGAACTTCTACTTCTGGGAGAGCCCGGCTTCTCAATTGATATTGCTCCAGCCTCTTCAGTGGCCAGCTTGTGGATTTATCGCGGAGCAGACGCCGATTGACCTTCCCAGACAATGTGAGAGGAACATCAGTAATGGGAATAAAGAATGATGGAAGCATGTATGCTGGAAGTAGCTCTCTTAGAGCTGTTTCCAGTGATTCAATAATCGAGTAAAACTGGTTGTTTGGGAGCCCAACCACTTCTAAACCACTAGTCTCTAACGATTCACCGGTCAGGGGCTGTCCCCAGTCTCCATTAGTCTCCGGACAAATAAACGCAATCAGTGAGACTCGATTGTTTTGCTCTGGAACTTTGATACACTCCACAGTGGCGGTTCTGATGGCTGTGCATGAAGAGATAATGCTATGTTCAACCTCTCCCATTTCAAGTCTCTGCCCATGAAATTTTACCTGATTGTCTTTTCTTCCGACAAACAGAAGGGAACCGTCCGATGTCTGTCTCACAAGGTCTCCCGTTTTGTATAGTTTTCCGGAGTATGGACGGACCTGAGCAAGCCACGGCGGACAAGTAATGAAGACTTCGTCTGTCTTCTCAGGATCGTTGAGATATCCAGCCGAAGCTATGGGGCCCTCAATGACCAACTCACCAACTGTACCAACAGGGACCAGCCTATAGTGATTTGATGGATCAGCTACCCAAGAAACAGCTCCGGGGCTTTGGCCAAGGTCGGAGTAGTGAGTGTCAGGAAAACCCCGCGATATATGGGAAACAACGGTACATTCAGCTGGGCCATAGATCCCGATTAATTCTACCTTATGGGCCCATATATCCACAATGTGTGCTGTTAGAGGTTCACCAGCCGATCCCAGAACTTCCAATGTGGGAACATCGGACGGCTCGAACAGGTTAATCACAGTGGGGGTGAGAATTGCCCAGGTTACTTGGAGATCGCATGCCGCTTTTGCTGGATTCCCCCTTCGATCTTCTTCATTGGGCACACAGATACATCCTCCCGCAGCAAGAGTAAATAGGATCTCACCAATGCTTAAATCGAATGCAAAGGATGAAAAATGAAAGACGCGACTCTTAGGGCTTAGCATTGCATAGTCGCGCATGACAGCTGCAGATGTGCTGAGTGCACTGTGTTGAAGTACAATGCCCTTAGGCTGCCCAGTAGATCCTGAGCTGAAGACGACGCATGCAGGAGCATCTGGGGTGACAGTTGCAGTTATCGGCTTAGGTTCCTTGTCGGTCGTCTGTCTAACTGAGCTCATTACATGAGCCTCGAGGTCAAACATGATGACTGGGAGTAGAAGATTGTCACTTATATGGGCATGTTCCTCATGGGAAATGATAATTTTCGCATCTGCCATAGAACACATCGTTCGCATCCTCTGAATAGGATGGGACAGGTCTAGTAGCAAAAAAGCAGCTCCAGTTTTCAGAACTGCCAGGATGATGACTGCAACCCAGGGTGATCTCTCTAATAAGACAGGTACAAAGTCTCCCGGCTTGATCTCTCTGTTTATCAAATCCTGTGCAAGCCTATTGGAGTAATTCTCCACCTGAGCATATGTCAGGTCTAAATCATGAGAGTGAATAGCTAATGCGTCAGGTTGGGCAATACATAATTGCCGAATGCGATCATGTATGCAAGTGTTCACAGCCTTCGGGAGAAAACGATTCCATTTCCTCAATATAGCCATATCCTCTGGAGGTACTAGGCTAACGTCTGCGATACGCATGGTGTCATATGCCATAAGCTGTTGGATAACATGTGACATCTGCCTAAGAATACTATGTCCGGCAGCTGGTGCTAGAAAAGCAGAATCAAAAGCTGCTGTCATGGTAATTTCATTCTTCCTTGGACGGCATATTAATACCATCGGGTAGCTGGTATAGGCTTTTGCATTTTTAGAAGAGGATGCTGAGTTAGCTCTTTCAAATATCGCGGAAGCGGTTTGCTGCTCATACGGTTGCACAACAAGTAAGTTTTGGAAATTGCATGCCTCAGCAGCCTCTCTCCCAAGTTGTCGAATACATGACAATCCTGTTTGTTCATAAACCATCATGTTGACAAATTGGTCTTGAACCTGCGATAGCCCCTCACGAATAGGACGATTTGTTGGCAATATGATGCGCACAGGTAGTGTCGCCAGAGTTGGCCCACTAAGTTTATCGATTCTATCAGTGTTTGCGTTACGGCCACTGACAGTGGCTCCAAACACCACATCTTTGCTGCCTGTTTGGTGCCATAGGATAATCGCCCACGCGAGCCGTAAGATGGATGACAGTGTATACTTTGTGGAGATTCCGGCATCAAGTTGTAAGCTATGCTCCAGGACCACCGTCTCGGACACATTTCCAGCTTCGGCTTTGCTAGATGCCCTAGCTGGGAAATGCTCCACCTGGAGGTTAGAAAATTCCCGACGCCAGAAATCCTCAATAGAATCACGGCATTCATGAAGAAGGTGCTGGATGAACGGGCTGAAAGGCTGCGTATAGAGCTTTTCCCCGGTATATGCGCGCTCAACTTGTGCCATGACCAAGTCAAGAGACCATTCATCAAATATCGAATGATGAATATCTAGCCGGAAGGATTCTTTGCTGTAATAGAACCGGACAAGTGGACCGCTATTGATATCAATTTTTATCAATTCGTTACTATCTTCACAGCCAGTGATATCAATGACGACTTTCCACGGAATATCTGTCTTCATGACGACCTGGAAGACACCAGATGGTATTTGTACGACTCTAGTCCGAAGAATGGGGTTGTTAAACCAAGCTGCCTTCCACGCATCTTTGAATTTCTCTTCGTCGAGAATTTCAGCCAACTGCCAAGTGTAGCTACCAATATATGCACGAGGGTTTTGCGCCGTCAATGCTATAAACCCTTTCTGCATGTGCGTGCATGGGTATACATCCTCAATCTGGTCAATTTGCAGCCCGTATTCTTCCATAATTGCACTAAGTATTGACTGGGGGTCGTCTATCAATGAGAAAGGGGCAGGTGCCAGTAGATTAACAGGCTCGTTCTCTTCTTCAACTAGCACGGATGCCATGTCTGACAAGGTCGAAAACTTGAAAATATCGGACACCGGTATAGCAAAGCCTTTCTCACGAAGGCTGGCAGCCAATTTAATTGCTGCAATGGAATCACCGCCCAGCCGCAAAAAACAATCGTAAAGCGCAATGCTTATTTCTTTGATGCCTAGAATACTGGCCCAAGATTGGATGAGAACCTTCTGTCTGGGAGTGGTTAGGTCTTGGTTGCCATTTGGATCAGATTTATCAAACTCGCTCTTCTTGTCGGAAAGCTCTTGGGCGGCTGTTTCTTGTAAATGGAGTCGGTCAATTTTGCCTGATGCTGTGAGCGGCATATTTTGCAGAAAGATGAAATCCCCTGGAAGCATAAATGCAGGTAAGTAATGTAAAAGGTGTCGCTGGAGTGTTACTTTCAGGTCTTCAGTGTCTTCCAACTTCTTTGACCCTCTGGACATATCAAGCCCCAAAAAGGCAAGAAGCTTGCTGCTGCCTTTTGGTCCACTTTTTACAGCAATGACAGCTACATGGAGAAACCCGTGATCGGTGACTTCGGCGCATGCTGATATGTGATGCTCAATCGCTGTCAGTTCGAGTCGCTGTCCGTTAATCTTCACTTGATGATCTTTTCTTCCTACAAACTGCAGCGAGCCGTCAAGGTTGTACCGCACCAAATCACCAGTGTGGAAGGACCGCTGCAGCCTTGAATGGCTTGTGCCATATTGTTCACGAATCCTTTCCTTGAACTTTGGTTTTGACGTGAACTGCTTCTCAGTTCGTTTTTTGTCGCCCATATAGCCCCTTGCAACTGATGGACCCTCGATAACCAATTCCCCCAATGCGCCAATTGGGGCTAGTTTATCAGGCTGGTCAACCGCAGCGACCCATAAAGTTGAGCCGCAGCCAAAGCCAATATTTCCTGGGGAACAATTCTTTTGGATGTCTGACGCCAACGCTGCTATTCCAGTACTTTCACTGACCCCATAGGCATTGAAAAGGCGCACGTATTTGGCCCAGCTTGAAATGTGACTGTCGGCCATGGACTCCCCTCCAAGAACTAATGCTTGAAGGCTTGGACATGATGCTGGAGTAAGGGTACTGGCCATTGATGGCGTTAGGCTTGCTAAGTTGACAGAATAGCGATTTATGAACCCAGACAGGTTGTTGACGCGCTCAAACTCGGAAGGTATGCAGATGCACCCGCCAAACATAAGTGTAATAAGCATATCGCGATTGCTCACGTCAAATGTGTACGATGCAAACTGTAGCATCCTTGTCATTGGGGTGACGTTAAGCGCTTTGCCATTAGCCATGGCCATCGAGTAAAAGGCAGAATGCTCAGTGATTATGCCTTTCGGCGTACCGGTGGTGCCCGAAGTGAAAGTTATGTACATGGCGCTTGACGTTCCTGGTTCTACCGTTGGCTGTGAGGAATCATTACTAACAGGTATTGAGTCCAGAAATTCACAGAGATTCTCTCCAATAGGAATAACATTTTCGGCGAAATGCCTGGCGAGGTTCTTATGTATTGGTGAGCATAGCGCAACTTCGGGGCGTAGGGTCGAGCATAAGTTGCGGCTGTAATGTATTGGATGGGAAGGATTGAGGAAAAAATAAGCACCACCAGCTTTCAGAACACCCAGCAGGGAAACAACCGCCCATTTTGATTTCTCAAATATAAGGGGAACAAATACTTCTGGACCGACCCCAAGGCGTTGAAGCCGGACTCCCAGGGCGGACGATAAGCTATTAAGGTCTGCATAGGTAAGCTCACCATCCCAAGCCGACACAGCAACCGATTCTGGCTGTGTAGCACATACTTGGGAGATTATGTGGTGTACGCATTGTGCGGGAAGTGTTTTGTCATTTGATGCGCTGTTCCATTGCAATAGACGGTGTATGTCCGCATTGCTACATATATCGAGCGTTTCAATTAAAGAGTCAATATTGAATACTATTTGCTCAGTAGCCTTGGCTACCGTTTCTGCAATCATTGTAGCAAAATCAGTTGATATAACTGAAGGTTTGTGCTGGATCCCAATGATTGGATAATCTGCCGTTGTCTCCTGCAAGTAATAGACGGCGACATCAAACTATATTGAAGTTGTTAGTAGTGTAGGAGTTTCTTTTGGTTTGCCTACTTCTAGGCCAGTAATTACCTCGCCGAGGTCATCCTCGCCTTTTTGTTCTTCGCTAACATAGACAAGAGAGTTGCATCCGAGGAAAGTGGTTCTATTTTCCTCATTGGACCGTTCAAACCGTATATCAAAGAGGCTCTGCACAGGCTGTGAAGGCGAAACATGGCAGAAGCATCTTTTTGATTTAGGACTATCAGTCAAAACTCAAGAAGCTTATCCTGATTTACATACCTTTTTGACTCCAGACAGCTAAAAAAGACATCGTTAGAGCCTGTATAAGACCGAAGCGAAACTGACCATGCAGCCTGAAGAAGTTGCAAGTGATTCTTGTGTTCCTGCTCTAGCCACCGGGCAAGACACTTGGTACTTAGGCCTGTACACGGAACAGTGACTGTGGCTATTCGCGTTTCACTGCATTGAGAATCCCGTCGAATTGCAATCTGAGGGGTAAACAACGGTAATACGGAGGGGGTGGCCATCGAGAGAAATTCTGAAGATGAACTCCACTCGATTGATCACTACAGCCGAAGAGAGTGAGTGATATCCACAAGTAGTAAATAGTCGACATCAACCTTTAATATCCATGACTGTTTGCTAGCCTGCTCAACTGTTTTTAAAATGGGTACTTCGTGATGATGAAATTCATTGAGGCGCTCAACATAAGCCTACAGGAGCCGCATGCAAGGTAGTTGTAGGAATCCATGTTGAACACGTTGGTATCAGGATATCTCCCTGCCACGAGTGCAATGAAACCCCCTTGGCAATCAATCCATCTAAGATACATATAAGTTCCCCGTGTTGTATACTATGGCTCCAGGGAGCCCAATATTGCGGTGAGTTTTTACTCTCGGGGGCGGCTCCCGGGCCGGACCGGCGGTAGGGCGGACGGGGAGTCGCCGGTAACTAGATAATGCTATATTGCCAATGTGACTATTCAGTAAATGATACATGGGACCTTCCACGTTACTACTGAATACAAGATGGATTCAACGCACCTTCAGATGTAGCTGATAATAAAAGATCAATATGCCTTCAATGTTTGATGTTGCGTTCACTCATCTTCTTCACTTTGACAATCATGTGTGGGATAAGCGCATTTCTAAGCCACGGAGAGCTGTACTCAGAGGAGCGGAGCAAAGGGCAAGACAAAAATTTAAAAATCGAGCTGGAGAATAGCTTGGATCTCGTCAGCCATCGAGGACCGGATGCTCGCGGGCGTTGGTTTAGTGATGATTACCAAGTTGGTAGGTCTCCTCAGCCCATCCACTATGAATAGATGTTTAGTCTTTTTGCAACAGGCCTTGGTCATGTTCGGTTATCAATAATCGATCTCAGCCCCAGTGGTAACCAGCCGTTTCATGATGAAAAGGGTGGCATTCATGCCGTTGTGAATGGTGAACTCTATGACCATGAACATTATCGAGCCCAATTAGCCAGCGAATTCGAGTTTGTGGGAAACAGTGACTGCGAAATTGTCATTGCATTATATAAACATTATGGCCTCTCTTTCATGTCTCATTTGAGGGGAGAGTTTGCCTTTGTGATATGGGATGCAAGCCGCCAGCGTCTCATAGCAGCCAGAGATCGATATGGAATAAAATCACTCTATTATACGGTGTTTCAAGGCAAGTTGTTGGTTGCAACAGAGATGAAGTCTTTCCTAGCATTCGGATTACAACCGGAGTGGTGTGTTAGAACATTGCGAGACCAGAGCTGGAGAGTGGAATCACGCACTTTCTTTAAAGGCGTGTACAGAGTGAGTTTATCAATGACAAATATGCCCATTCCACTGGTTAAAAGGTAATAGGTTCTCCCTGGGCATTATCTCATATGTCGGCGTAATGAGAGAGAAGAACAGAAACCATATTGGGATATTGAGTATCCCGATAAAGTTAAGAGCCACAATGCTTTCCCTAGGCATTTTCAACCCCACTAATGATCAATGCTCCTTAGTTTTCCCACGAGACGCGATCGGAAGACGAAATGGTGGAAGGGGTGAGGGAGCGTCTTCTAGAGGCTGTCAGAATCCGACTGAAGGCGGATGTTCCTGTAGCTGTCTACCTCAGTGGCGGGATAGATTCATCATCAGTTGCCGGCATGGTGGCCGAACTCATGAAACAGGGCACAAAGCTAGGCAGCGAGTCTTGCTCCGTCCCATCAAAAATGAAATGTTTCACCGTCCAGTTCGACGAAGATAGTGGTGCAGATGAGTCGGGTACATTCAGTCCCCCGCCGCCTGGCAAATACCGACCACCATCGCTAACAATTTTACAGAAATTGCCCAGCGCACGGCAAAATGGCTCGGTGTTGACATCCATTTTGTTAGGATGGATGAAGAGGCCCTCGTATCTCGCTTTGAGGACGCTGTTTGGAACAGTGAAATTCCTCTCCCTGATCTGAACGGAATGGGCAGGCTGGCATTGGCAGAGGCGGTCCACTCCCAGGGTATCAAGGTCGTGGTCACTGGTGCGTAATCCCTCTTAACGGATAACATAGTGGCATCTCTGATACCCTTTCTTCCAGGCGAGGGTTCTGATGAGCATTTCGGGGGCTACCTTGCCTTCCGGGCCGACTCTCTCAGTGAGCCCGATTATTCATGGCCGGCATTACAAATAGCCGATGCAGACCGTGAGGAAGCATTGCGTACGGCGGTTGAACAAATCACATATGGTATCTTCGGAGACTATAGCCCAGCCGTCCCGAGTGCGACGATGCGTATGCTGAGCCATAGTCACGTCACCAGCTCCATCGCAAGAGTCGGCAGTCTGCCATTCTCAGATGGCATAAAGTCCTACGGTGATGATATACCAGAGACCAGTCTCATAGAGGGTTTCAACGGGCGTGTCCGGGATAATATAACAAACCGGTGGCACCCACTCCATACCGCTCAGTACCTATTCATGAAGTCCTTTTTACCACATTTTATCTTGCGGTATAATGGAGACAATATCGATATGGTCCATCAAGTCGAAAGTCGTTGCCCGTTCCTTGACCATCATCTGACGGAATATGTTAACAATGTGCCACCAAGCCTCAAGATGAAATACAACGCGAGACAGAAATCCTTCCGTGAAAAGTACATCCTCCGAGAAGCAGTGAGACCATACGTCACCGATGAGGTCTACAATATCAGCAAAAAGGCTTACATGGGTCCAAGGAGATTCAAGCTGGGCGGACCGCTGCACCGAAAGATCAGCCATCTAGTCACCAAGGAAAATGTAAGAAACCTGGGCTTTCTCGACTGGAATGATACAGAAGAGGCTGTGGAGAGAGCTTTTAGCCAGCAGGAACCCTTAGCACTCCGCCGTGCGATCACCGTTGCTCAATTTGTTGTTCTCGGGCAGCGATTCGGAGTCAAGCCAGCAGGTGTCTTGCCCAACTAAATCGTCTCCTTGTTAGAAGATTTTGTGTCATATTTAGATAACGATAGTTAACAACAGATGAAGGTAATACAAGCTAAGTACGAGCATTCGAACGCAGCATTAAAGTATTGTTGATATCAAACGTTGACGTTTGATGTTGATAAACTCGTTCGTCGTCGCCGTGTCTGATATCTGACTAAGCAGAACGATGTGGAGTATAACTTATATGTCATGATTTATCATACTCTGATTGGTCCATCTTGGCTTTATACAACATGACCATGATAAATCATCTGCTCTCTATTATTCTGCTTATATAATATTCAATACCTCGATATAAAACCGTTACGAGATGCTTCAAACAGACAAAAGTCCATGTCAAAATGATAGTCTAGCCTTTTATTAGTTCAAAAACTTCGTCGCCCAAATATTTCCATCTATCTAGCACTAAGATATACAAAATGTATATGTTGATCTTTGGGGTTCTCACCAGAATGCAGCACACCTTACCTCGATACTCTCTCGAGGCTCAGCTTCCACATCCTGGTCGTCCAGCTCGACTGCACTATGGATAGCTCCCCCAACGCCCAGGTCAGACATCTTGTCAACTCCTTCCTGAGGCGCTCTTGCATGTGCCTCCATCTTGTTGTCAAACAGTTGAATCATCAGGACCTCAGAGGGTTGTTGCTCTGAGATAAAGTGCCAGTCATGCGCCTTTTGCTCCTTGTCCCGAGGCCCGTAAGCTAGGTAGCTCTGCGACTGGTACATTCCTTTATCCTCATAGAATACGGAATCAACTATGCGCGACAGATGAGCAGGGATACGATGGTCCATGGGTTCAAGCTGACTAGCAGGCGCGTAGTCTGATTCAGGAAAGGAAGCGCAGGACGATAGAGCAAGAGGATCACGGCGGACGGTTTTTAGGGGCCGCCATATGGAGAAGAGCGCGAATCGAGGTATCTCGCCATAATAGTCCTTGAGGTCATCCCATTGCACACCGGATTCGAGCCGTCGGTTCTCCGCATCGATCAGTTGCTCGGCCGCGCAAGCAACTTCGAGATGATACTTTCGAATATGGTACCTTGCACCCCTCGGAGACAGATCCAGATGCACTTTGGGAGCAGGACATATACCGTCTGTCGTCGAATTTCCAAAAATAGGCGGAAATAACGCAGGTATGGCTTTGTCCGAGCTTCCGCCGTTTTCTGCTGTTTGCGGAGCAGAAGCTGGGTCGCTTTCTTTGTATACTCCGCTCCGAATCACAGCTGCTGATATCACGACCTTCTTACATCCCGTCACCCGTTGAACAAGCGCCTGTACCTCCGGGAAGTAAATCTCACGAAGCAGTTGCTCATCATTCCAACTTGCTCGGCCATAGGGAGCTACATGTAGAGCCGAGAGGTGTCGGCGAGCGGTGAATCCGTGGACTGACAGCTTGTATGGCGACTCATCTCCGAGGTCTAGAGAGGGCCTCAAGTCCGTCAAAGGCAATGTTAGTACATCACCAAACTCGGAGAGAGGTGGTAGCAGATACGCTCCTTTCCTCGGAGTTGGTTTGGTCCCCCTGGTCAAGTACCGGAATTTCCCCCTGTGAGCAGCCGGCGCAACAGTATCCATTGCGGTAGCGATGATGGTCTCACGAGCCCTGTCTCCATGGGGCTGCCGGGCATTTTATGTTGGAGCCATACAGTAGCGGTCTGCCCCAAAGGGACGGTGTTATATCCAGATACCGCAGAGTGTCATACAGCTGCTCTACCCGCGTTATCCGGACAGTCTATACATATGCAGATAGCATACACTCTATCAATACGAGGCTGCTAGGATTATTCTAGTTCGGCCCGCGTGTGGACAAGAGAATTTTCTTTGATCCCTTTGCATAACGTCACTAATATCGAGTCAAAGCATGCAATGTAGAGATATATAAATTGCAGTAATATTGAATCCCAACCCCCGAGACTCCCCTGTTGAAGCCCTCGAATCAATTGTGTCATGCTAGACATTTTCAGAGTACACCATATACGACCATCCCACCATTATCATTTCAACTCTGCCTAACTAAATGGCCCGTATCCTGATAACAGGCTCGACGGATGGTTTTGGCCTTGAAACTGCTCGCCAGCTCGTCCAGCGTAACCACACCGTCTATCTCCATGCCCGCAACCAACAGCGTGCAGAGGATGCCAGGAAAAAATGCCCTGGAGCCGCCGGTGTGCTGATTGCAGACCTTACCAGCATGGCAGAGACCCGCAGACTAGCAGAAGAAACAAACAAGATTGGTCTCTTTGACGCCGTCATCCTCAATGCTGGACTGCTCTACGGCCCCTTTCGCAAGACACCAGACACAGGAGTGCCAGCCATGGTCTTCATCAACCTTCTCGCGCCGTATATTCTCGCCTCTCTTATCAGGCAACCCAAGCGTCTTATCTTCATCTCCTCCATCCTACACAAAGAAGCCAATACGGATGTGGCGGATATCTTCTGGTTTGAGCGTGGGGAGAAGGAATTCAAGGATTTCTCAGCATATTGCGATTCGAAGTTTCATGTCCTGCTTCTATCTAAGGCTGTGGCAAGGCGGCTCAAGGGCACTTCAGTCACAGCTGTGCATCCTGGATATGTTTCGACCAAGCTTGCAGGTCCAGGTGGTTTCAATAAACTAGAGGATGGCGTCGAGACATATGTCATGCTGGCTGAAGGTGACTACGACCAGAATCTCACTGGTGTCTATTTCGAACCCAAGAGGCAGATGGCTAAACCGCTAGAAGTGACGGAGGACGAAAACTTACAAGAGATCGTCGTCAAGGCCTGCGAGGATGTGACAGGCCTTAAGCTGGCACGTATCTAGATTTAGTACTGTTATTATCATATGGGTGTTCTTGTTAATTAGAAAACTAAATTTAGAGGGAATGGAAATATAATAGTTGGCCACGGCTTAATGTGTGTACCATTCTTTGTCTTGATATTATTAATAGTCCATTGATAACGAGTTATTGTATCTAAGCAATTGGCGCATAGAAGCTGAACATCCCATTAGGGTCATATTTCTTCTTCAGGCTCTGCAACCGGTTTTGTCTCCAGCTCTCACTACCATACCACTCCGTGGGCCCCTCATCACCATACGCATAGTTGACATACGCCCGCATATGCTCACGTCCAGACCCTCTATGCAAAATCTCTCGGATATTTTTACCAAGCGTAGCAGCCTTCTTGTCCAGCTCAGGACCGTCAGGCATGTAACTGATTAAGGGTGCAGCGAGGATATTTTGATCACGGAAGGCAAACGCAGTGCTGCTAGAATCGATGGACTTTACCCCTTCGGTCGAGTATCCGTCAAATGTAACCAGGGAGTTATTGAAGATGGAAGAGCCCCGGACACCCTCGGCAAAAGCCTCATACGCTCTCTTCTGCGCGGCCACGTCATATGTCTCGAGATAGATGGGAAACCGGGGGTTCATAGCTCCGTTTTTCTTGCAAGGCTCGGAAGTCGTAGTGATGCCAGCCCATTTGGCCAGGTCAGTATAGCTGCCGCTATGGGGTTCTATAGCTATAGGTCCCATTGAGTGGAAGGGAGCAGTATAGGCAGAGTCCACGGCCTTAACACCTTCTTGGATGATCAAAACTTGGATAATGGGCTAGAGGTAGCCGTTACCAATCGTCACGGAAAGCAATGTTAAAAGGATATGGATAGACTCACGTTGTTGGCGTCTGCATCGGGTTTGTTGAACCAGTACGACCAGCTAATAACATCAGTAGGCTGGGTACCATTCTTGAGCAGATATTTATTGACGGCCTCGTAGACTCTCTCAACCTTGTCACCACTAAAGGTGATAATCTCAATAGCCCAATTCCTATGCTCAATATCGAAAACCTTAGAGGTGACGGAGGTAACGATGCCGAAATTATGGCCAGCACCTTTTATAGCCCACCAGAGCTCAGAGTCAGAGTTCAATGTGACTAAAGTGCCGTTCGCAAGCACCATGTTAATTGACTCAAACTGGTCAGCGATAAGCCCGTGGTGGCCCTGAAGCCAACCGTGGCCGCCACCCAAAGCAGGGCCTAAGTAACTAACACATTCACAAGCACCAGTAACTAATTACATCCAATTAGTACAGGCTCTATTGTTCTCTATACTTCCAAGGATTAAACTTACCCGTCTGTTTTCCAGCATCCCAGAGCGTGTCGGTCACCAGTTTAGACTTAGTTCCTGCAGCAATTGTAACAGTCTTGCCATCGTTGGCCACATCTACACTACTGAGTTGATCCAAGTAGATCTCAACACCGCTAGTCATCTTCCCTAGCGTGGTGATTGCTCCGTGAGCAGCATTGTAAGCCAGGAAAGGCATGTTCTTCATGCCAGCGAATTTCACCTTTGCAGTGGTATTAGCGTGGCCGTGGTAAGAGAAAAGAAAGATATATCATAGAGGCATATAAAACAAAGCTTACAGTCTCGACAACATCATTCTCAGTGCCGGGAACAACAACAATGTCCACGGTAGGTATCTCCAGATTCGACCAACGAGAAGTAGCCTCGTCGAACTTATCTGAGCCTGGGTAGTAGATCTTTGCGGAGCTAGAAAGTCTCCTACTGAACACCTTGAAATCCATATCGCGAGGCCAGGAAAGGCTTTGGGCGGCAGTCAGGCCCTGGTAAGCCGAGACAGCAGCCCACACGGCCATCACAGTAGTCACTTGAAGACGCATTTGGCTGAAGAGTTCAAGTTCAAATAACAGTGGGTAAAGATATTTGTAAGAAGATGGGAAATAGAAAACCTAGGACAAGGGCCTGGTCCAAAATCTGGAGAGAAGGAGGGTTCTGATGAAGTATTACTTCACGGGTAGAGCGCAGGTGTTATAACTGGATCCTCTAGATGGACGCTGAGCTCCAAATCTCAGGATCGGCCAGTCTCAAATGCAGCATGAACACAGTACTGCATGGGGAGATGCGCAGATGGCTTAGCCAACAATGGCACGGCGGACGGGGAACGGGCCGCGCTGGCCGTTGAGTCATTATGCCATTCCATGCCGGAGATTTGGAGGATCAAATGTATAAACTGTTGTGAGGATATAGAGGTACTGCGTTGGATCTTCGGGTTGGTAAGGCTGAAAGCGAAGCTGGATAATTTAGATAAGTTGGTAGGAAGAAAAATAACTATGCAGCAATCAATCGAAATATTACGTCAAATCACAGTTGCAGGAGAGAAGTGTGTGATAGCATGAACTGTGATGGATTGTATAAAACCGTCTATCGTCCTTGATATAGGGCCGGCCATCTCCTATGCCTAAAAACCAAGAAGTGTAGAAATAAACAAAAAGAAATTAAACAAAAATGATCAGTTATCGACGTGGAATCTCATCTTGACACCCATGGCAGCAAGCTCGACGTCGAGATATTTTAATACACCAGGCACAGCAACCACTGTTGTGTCACTGCCACCCACATATCTCTTACCAGATCCATCTTCCCATACTTCTGCCCTGGGATCGTCAAAGACTGCCTCCCGCGCGCATCGTCGACATCGTACAATACCAGCCAGACCGCCGAGAGCGCTGACTCCACTAAGCGGTTTAGCAATTGCATCTGCTGTAGATTGGACCACAGCTTCCATGGCAGGATTTTTATGCGGTGATAGGAGCTGAGAAACAGCCACTTGAGTGGATATAAAGGAGCCGCATGTTCGACATATCCAAGCACGCTGAGAATCGGAGCAGTTCATTAAGCGATCCTGTAGTAAGAATGCAGCACCGTGGGCTAGGAGAGCGTCACGTTCCATCTCACCAACACGGATACCACCTCCCTTAGCACGACCCTTAACGGGCTGCCCAGTGAGCGCGTTCACTGGACCAGTAGTACGGACTTGGAACTTATCGTTAACCATGTGTCGAAGACGCTGGTAGTAGACAACCCCAATGTAGATGTCGGCCGCGAATTCTCGGCCGGTGATTCCAGAATACATAGGCTCATTTCCGTGGAAGTTATAGCCTGCCTTCTGTAGTTGTTTGCCAAAATAATCTCCCGCCGTGTCCTCTTCAGAGAACTGGAAAGGGGTGGAATCTTGGGCAAGGCCATGCAGCGAACCGGCTTTTCCAGCCAGTGACTCGACAAACATACCAATTGTCATTCGAGAGGGGAAAGCATGTGGGTTAATGATGACATCAGGCTGGATTCCGGACTCAGAGAATGGCATGTCGGTCGACGGCCAGAGTTGGGACAAAACACCCTTTTGTCCGTGACGGGAAGAGAACTTGTCACCAATCACTGGTCGACGGGGGACCCTATATTTGATGCTGACGGCCTGGCACACTTCGTTGCCGGTCTCTGCTCCAAGGATTCTGACACTGTCGACATATCCTTCTTCCCCGTCTTTGTATTTAAGGAAGTGCGTCTGTTTGTCCACGTTGACATATGTGTCTGTCGCCGGGTCATATTGGACAGTGTGCCATGCACCAACTAAGCTTCCTTCACTGACCTTCGCTCCAATATGTGGTAAGCCATCTTCATCCAGCTGGGCTTTCCACTCGGCCTTAATTAGACCTCCTGGTGCAAATCCAAATAACTTGGTTATTGACCTTTTAGATGCCCCTCGCCCGCGTGATTCTTTGTCATCCAACGCATATACTTTCGTTTTGTAAATGGTTCCATAACCAAATCCGCGTTCGTGAGAAGATTTGTTTATTATCATGGCGTCGTCCATATCATAGCCAGTATATGAAATGACGGCAACGACAGCATTCATGCCGTTGGGGAAATTATCTAGCCCATAGGCATTGTATAGCGGTGGTCTGACAACCGGTGTCTGCCCAGTTTGTAGTCGGTAGAGTTTGTTGTCAGTTCTGTAATCGATAGCTGTGCCAGGAGTTCCCATTGCTTGTTTACCCATCTGGCACTGGTACATGTTACGTGGGGACTGATTGAAGTCGGAAAATGGGGTCATGTTGGCGAGGATGGATAGAATGTGAGTAGGGTCGAACTCAATGTGGGTAGAAATTCCATTCCTAATATCGGAAGCAATGCAAGCAATTTCCATGTAAGGTTGCTCGAACGGGCCGACATAATCTAGCTTGTCCAGTGGAAGATATCTGACCGGTCGATACATGCGGGCGGCTTCGGAAAACATGTAGACTCCTGGGTATTGGCCACCACTGGAGCTTGGAACATAGCCAATTTCAAGCTCTACAGGAATATGCTTATGTCCTTGGACCTTCCAGTATCGCAGGGTATCGGCAATAGCACGAGATTGTTTTGGTGTACAGTATCCAAGAATTTTTCCATTTAGCTGGACTGGGATACTTTCTTCGGTTGAGCATGAAGATTCCGATGTCACTCCAAGTCCAGCAAGAACCCCAGGCACACCAGAGACATCCAGGTTTGAGGTTGATATCAAACATTTATGTGCCAGATGATTTAGCAAACCGCAAGGACTTCCATCAGGAGTATGAACAGGGCAAAGAAATCCCCAGCTTTCCGGTAACAGTTTTCGTACAGTTGTTGTTTTCAGCTGCGCGAAGAAGCTTCCTCTGTGAATCATTCGGAAATGGCTGATGAATCGGTAAAAGTTGATCTTTTCTGCCATTACGGTATAGCCTGACGGCTGCTGCAAATCGAGCCCAGTAGGGCTGACCAAGTTTCCTGTTGATAGGAAGTATTCCAGGGCACCACCGATATTCTCATTTGTCCGGCCGATTACCTTTGCAAGGAATTCCCTTTCGAATTTAGGGTCCGTAAATTTGGTATCTTGATTTCTCATCCTCCAGTCCCGAACAATGGGACCTACAGATTTTAACCATTCCTCTAGTCTTTCTTTTAATAGCATACCGTACAAATATCCTCCAAGCAGTACTTCCTGGTTCGAGATTGCATCAGGATTGTCAGGTGCGCAATCACCAGCGACAAGGGTATATAGCTTTCGTATCATAAACAAAATCATGTTAAATTTGTCGTTATCCTGAGACTCGGTAACGTTTTGGTTACCAAGATGGGGTAAGACGATCTTCCGTAGAAATTCAGTGCCGACATCCTCATCTGGGACATCCTCCGGCATTCCAAGGACAAATCTGAACTTAGAGCCCAAGTATGCCCTGCACTTTGACCGAGAATGGACACCATACGCCTTGTAGGTCCTCAGAAGCAGCTCCACACGGTCAGTAACAAAAGTATTCTCAATACCCAAAGAGTCTTCCCGGCCAACTAATCGCTCGAAAATCTCACGGTCATTGGTCTCAATCAGTGCCTTCAGGACCATCATCACGGGCACAAGATATTCGTTCTTTCTCCAAGAAAACCGAAGAGTGACGTTCCCATCACTGAGGTAATGAAGTACATTTGTCTGCGAGGTCTGATCTGGCCTGACGGAACGAATTTGAATACCGAATTTGGTATATGCTGAGCCACGCTTCTGGAAAGAGTTTCGAATGATTGCAGTTGGAAAGTTTCTTTTTCCAACAATCAACATTCGGATGAGTTTCTCGTTTCCGTTCACCACAAAATAACCGCCTAGTTCTTCTGATTCCTCTTTGCGCTCGACAAGTTGGGACGGGGTAGCCTTTTCAAGGTGGCACCGATTGGACTAGAGGCCAGTTAGTTCATTTATATCAGTTGATGTATACCGTTTAAGTTAGAACTAAACATACCCGTAACATAATTGGAACTTGGCCCAGTTCCCGAACGGACTCCTTCCACTCTCCATTGTTTACTCTGTATTCTAACCTTGCTCTTAATTTCCCTCTATAGGTTGCATGTCTTTCACGGCACTCAGACGGGTAAATTTCTCGATTGCGTGTGCTATATTTATTCGAGGCTGGGAGAACTGCTTTCTCCAAGAATAGCTCCGTTATCCGCACGCTAAGTCTGTTTCTCTTCGGTGTTCTTCTTCCCTCTTCTCGTCGCGCGGCTTTTTCTTCTGGTGTCTCGGGGTTTCCGTCAATAAAGGACTTGACTCCGATATCCTTTAGAGCGGCCTCCATAACCTTGCCGTCCTCAAACAAGGCATTGAAGGAGTCGATGTGCGGGCGGATGGCAGCAGCTAGCGCAGGATATGCTGTTTTATCCTTTGGAGGGTGTCGAAAGAGACGCTCACGCCGAAGAGTGTCATATTCAACGGACCAGACGGCGTCACTCTGTCCCCCCATTGCGGTGGTATTATTGTTTTTATGCGCGAAATAGGGACTGGGCCAAATAAGAGCTACAATTCCATAGTTGAGCGTAAAAATACAAGGTTCAATTGGATTGTAAGAGGGAAGAAATATTGCTGAACCGCATCAGTATGGGCTGTGTTGTTGTGCTGGTGTTGCAGAAGCTCGCCGTCGCCAATGTGAATTTTTTTTTTTTTTGATAACTTTTGTAAAATTAAGGTTTGATGTGATGTCTTATCATCACGTGGAGATAACTGCGAAAATGGTCATATCCAATGCTGCTTTAGCACTTATCACCCAAAGAATACCGCTGCTTTAATAATCATTAGGTAACGCCAGTTTAATCGAAAAAAGGTTAGCCGTATATGACTAATCAACCTTATATGGACTTTGCTTTTTTTCGCTTTTGGCGACGACGACGACAACGTTAAGCATGCCAACTCTGCCAGCTTTCTCTCTGCTATATTAACGTTCATATTTAACGGCAATTACTATGCAGCGGTGATTGACATATTATGAACAAGAATCTACTCACAGTTCTTTGCGGAATCGAACACGTCAAAAATAAACTGAAAACGATGATTGATATAGTTGTTGGGAGAAATTGAAATGCGAACCACACTACACGCAATAGTGCAGAGTCAATTTGGAAGCCCACGTCGGATTTGGGAGATCCTATTCACCGATGAATGGTAGATTGATTATTTGCTGATCCTCGTCTCAAGGCCATCAGCAAGGAACATCCTAAGTCTTGTCGTCGAAATCATGCCCATAGCTGCAAACATGAGTAGTTTACAAACTCGATGCTTTATTGTACTATGTAGGTTTCATAATACTAATACAGAATAGTGGTTGACTTGCGCTTCATATACAGGATCCCTACCAAGCTATTTTGCTAAGTAGCTCACCACTCCATGATTCGATCCGTTAACAGGGCTTTGCTGGCTGATGCGTCGTGTTATACTTGCATGCCCTGGCTGATGCTCCAATACGTGTTTTCGAGTGGAACTCATCATCTATTTACGTTACTCATTGCCCAATTTGCTACTTGAAAGTTAACAGTTCTTAATTGAACTGATACCCATCATGTCAAGCTGCTACGCCCTCTTTCACGCTAGTTATTTGATGCCGCGGTTTTGAAAAATTTACAAGCCAAGACGAAGCATCCCCCGCAGGTGGAATCTGAGCGAACCTCTCATGGTCATCCCCATCCGCCATGGGCGCTGTGTGTTAGTTGTTACTACATAGTACTCCTTATGTTCTCAAAATATTGTCAAGCCACCCAAAACTGTGGACAGGCTTATGGCCATTGCGAGGAAAATGACCGAGCTACTTATATCTGACAAACGGGCGTCAAATGAGAGATGGACACGGTTATCAAAGGTTTGGTGCTATGTACCCCGTCTAGAAATTTGCTTTTTGTTCGATTCCAGCTACTAGCGAATACTACACAGCTATGCATATTTATTTTTTGTGGCCATTTGAATAACACTTATCTTCTATAGCTGATGAGGTATATCTTATCTGATATATCCTGAGTTGAACATCAGTCTGGGCATGGGCATTCCAACGTGGTCTCATATAAAGTGTGCTTTTTTGAATAACAAAGTCACTTTATGAATATTTGCGTTAATTTCGCTGCGGCTTTACAATTCGTCGTCAACCTTCGCCCTCTCATACTCAATTGATAGTTCATAACAATAACGAGATGGCAATTCAAAGTGAGAGCACGGTGGTAACCGAACCACGACCGCCAGCAATCCCTAACCAGCGCGAAATTGGTTTGAAAGAGTTACAGAGGTCATCCTCCAGCGTGTCTGAGAAAGATGTAGGTGATCACACTCCTTTTAATGAACTCAAAGGCCAATTTTATTGCATTCTAGGTAAATACAAAGGGCGAAGGCTTACCTCCTATCGCAATTGTGGGCATGGCCTTGAGATTACCTGGGGGTGTGAAGTCTCCTGATGAACTTTGGAAGTTCTTGATTGAAAAGAAGAGCGGGGTTTGCGAGGTTCCTGGAACTCGGTATACTGTCGATTCGTTCTACAGTAATCAGAAAGCCCACTGTGTCAAAACTCGGCATGGGTATTATTTGCAGGAAGATCCGGCCTGCTTCGATGCGCCATTCTTCTCCATCAACAGCGATGAGGCTGCACAAATGGACCCACAACAACGTAAACTCATGGAGGTCTTTTGGGAATGCTTGGAGAGCGCAGGTGAAACCGATTGGAAAGGTAAAAATATTGGATGTTATGTCGGAGTGTATGGTGAAGATTGGTTAGATCTTGCCAGTAAAGATCCTCAATATACGACCCGTTATCATATTCTGGGTACAGGACAATTTGCTCTATCAAACAGGTTATCTTGGGAGTATGATTTTCGGGGACCAAGGTATGCATGATACTCTCTTCGCCTTGTGCTTTTTCCGATCCCTTTCCTTCTCTGTACACTAACGCTGTATATTGCAGTATGACCATACAAACTGGCTGCTCCGCATCCTTGGTTGGTTTGCACGAAGCCTGCCAGGATATTCATTCTGGCGAATGCTGCTCAGCCATTGTTGCGGGTACCAACTTAATATTTGCACCTACGATGACGACAACAATGTCTGATAATACTGTCATGTCCCCATCTGGAACTTGTAAAACTTTTGATGGAAAAGCTGATGGGTACGGCCGAGCCGAAACGATAAATGCACTCTACATAAAGACTCTAGATGATGCTCTCCAGAATAATGACCCTATCAGAGGCATTATACGTGCAACTTCAATCAATTTTGATGGTAGGACGCCCACTATTACTACCCCCGGGTCTGAATCTCAGGAATCTCTTGTCCGAAGAGCCTACCAAAGAGCGGGAATCAAGGATATCAGTCAGACAGGGTTCTTCGAATGCCACGGAACTGGAACAGTTGCAGGAGATACTGTCGAGGTATCTGTCGTTGCCAAACTATTTGAAGGGAAAGGCGTGGTAATCGGCGGAGTTAGAAGACCCATCTCCATGGCCATTGCATGAAACATTACTAATTGTATATAGGTAAAACCAAATGTCGGTCATGGGGAAGGTGCTTCAGGTATTACTAGTGTTATCAAAGGAATTATGTCCCTGGAGCATGATACAATCCCCCCAAACATTTTGTTCGAGTCCCCAAATCCAAATATTCCGTTCAAGGAGGCTAAGCTTCAAGTACCGTTGGATCCTATGCCCTGGCCAGAGAATCGAAGCAAACGAGTTAGCGTCAACAGTTTTGGTGTTGGTGGCGCCAATGCACATGCCATATTAGAGTCTGCCGCTTCGTTTTGCAAGGCCAAGGAAGATTCGAGTTCTGCGCAATGTGACGGCCCTCAGCTCCTAACTGTATCTGCAAAGAATACAGATAGCCTAAAGGAGCGAATTAAGACGGTGACCCAATACATCAATGATGACTTGCATAAGCTCCATGACCTAGCGTATACGCTTGGGGTACGGCGAGAGCACCTATCGCATCGTTCTTTCATCATAGCACATCCAAACCAGCCAGTTGATGCCACGGGGTTCCAGAGTGGTCAAGACAAGTCCCTCAGCTTAACCTTCGTCTTCACAGGGCAAGGTGCTCAATGGCCAGGTATGGGAATAGACTTGATACATTATTTCCCGGAAGCTAGGAAAGATATTCAAGCAATGGACAAGGTCCTCCAGGGTTTGCCCGATGGTCCCGATTGGTCCTTAGAAGGTAAACCTTCTGCCGTGGAAATAATGACATGCGTTTCACTAACTGTTCTTCTAGAGGAACTTCTTAAAGCTGGCGATAATAGTAAGGTCAATGAGGCAGAATTTTCCCAACCTCTCTGCACAGCTCTTCAAGTTGCACTTGTCAATATCCTCTATAGATGGGGTATCAAACCATCATCTGTAGTTGGCCATTCCAGTGGGGAGATTACGGCTTCCTACGCTGCTGGGGCGATTACTTCTAAATCAGCTATAATTATCGCATACTATCGTGGCAAGGTAACAAAGGGTTTGTCTAAGAAGGGTGCCATGGCAGCAGTTGGCTTGGGAAGGGACCAAGTCACCCCATACTTAGGAGATGGAGTTGTTATCGCTTGTGAAAACAGTCCCTCTAGTGTGACGCTATCAGGAGAAGCGGCTACCGTTGACAATATAATACGATCAATCAAAAGCGACTTACCAGATGTATTTTGCAGGCAACTCCGAGTGTCTGTTGCATACCACTCTCGTAAGTTTCTGCATTTTATTAAAGAACTATTCCAGCTAACTATGTTAATTAGATCACATGAGCGAACTCGGATCGTCGTATGAATCATCGATATCTGGTTTAATCAAATATAATGAGAATATGTTACCGTTATTCTCTACTGTTACTTCCAAAACTATCACCAAGCCATGTGATCTCGATGCTGCCTATTGGCGCAGTAACCTAGAATCCCCGGTATTATTTTCTACTGCCATCCAGGACATCCTGCGAGAAGCCCCGAGAACTGCTTTCCTCGAAGTCGGACCCCATGGTGCACTCTCGGGGCCTCTCCGCCAAATATTCCAAGGGGCGAATCTCAAGTCAGCACCAGTTTATATTTCTACCCTTGACCGCAATAACACTGATTCTCGATCACAACTTTTATTCACTGCTGGCTCTGCGCACGTCTGTGGGATCTCCGTTAGCCTACAGTCGATAAACGGAAAAGGCAATACCCTAGGCAATATTCCTCCCTACCATTGGCAACATAGTCAGACGTACTGGTATGCGAGCCGCTTAACGCACGACTGGAGATTTCGAGCATACCCTCACCATGAACTTCTTGGCAGTCGAGTAGTCGAGGCTTCGGATATAGAACCATCCTGGAGAAACATCTTGCGTTTAGATGATGTACCATGGCTTGTTGACCACGCTCTTCAAGGCAATGTTATATTTCCTGCTACTGGGTATATTTCAATGGTGGGAGAAGCAATTTGTCAACTCTATCCTCGTCCTGACGCAAAAGACTATTCAATAAGAAACTTCATCATCAAATCTCCCCTCCTTTTGAAAGAAAAGAGGGAAGCAGAAATAATTACGGCTTTCCGGCCTGTTAAAATCACAGATATCGTTGATTCAGAATGGTATTCTTTCACAATTATGGCTCATGACGGATCTGACTGGACAAAACACTGCCAGGGAGAAGTAAGAGCTGGCTCCGAAAACCCGCCTAAAGGGTATAAAATCCAAAGCCATTCCCGAGCTGTCAACGTCGATACATGCTACAAAGTTGTGGGCAGACTTGGGTTCAGCTACGGGCCTCGTTTCCGGCGCTTCAAGGATATATCCGTTCATCCAACAGAAGGAAGAACCTCTGCAACTATACTTGGGGTCCAGGAACGGGCTTTAAGCAGGTATACTCTCCATCCAGCAACCATGGATCATGTTTTACAACTATGGCCCATCGCCATCGGAAAAGGCCTCCAACGTCTCTTTCATCTTGTAATTCCTGCATCATTTGGAGACATTTACGTGCGAGGTAGCGCACCTGAGATGCGTTCTGAAGCTCTTTTTACCCGTAATCAAGTTGGAGCGTGGGTGGGACAAGCTATCATGATGGCAGGCGATGAGCTTATACTAAGCTTTAGCAATACTACTGGTTTCCCTGTAGAAGGATTCGACAAGCTAGGATTCCCCAACGCCTCTCTGTGTTCGCAGATAAGGTGGGCTCCTGATATCGATTTGCTACCTTCTCAGAATTTACTTTCAAGCCCGTCAGCAGCAGAATGCTACCGTGAAATAGCTGGAGATGTGAGGCAGCTGGCTGTCCTATATATTCTGGAAACTGCGAATAGACTTGTCGATGTCACGCCCAAATCCCCGTTCTTAATTAAATGGAGAAACTGGATCATTACGAAAGCTTCAAGCCTTTGCCAGAATGCAGATACGTTATTCCCGGAAGCGCAAGACTGGATTGTAATGGGCTCAGAAGCACGTAAAACCGTTATCAGTACCATATCCTCGCGATATGCTGATGAGAAAGGGCATCGTTCTATTCCGTTCGAGTGCATGCAACACATTTATGAGAGCTGTGAAGGGTTTGGGAGGGAGGATGTCGTCCCAGACGGAACTCTTGATATCCTGAAGAAATATTGGGCAGTACTTCAATCACACTGTGACTGGGGCCACTTTCTAACACTCCTAGGCCATTCAAACCCATGTACGCGAGTTTTAGAAATAGGTGCAGGGACAGGGAGTGCAACTCGGGCCGTGCTGCAGCACTTACAATCCCCCGAAGGTGCACGACTATACTCACAATATATCTTCACTGATGCTTCTGAAAGCGTTATAGCTGAGGCCAAAGTGATGTTCCCTAATGGAGTTGAGCATAAGATACTAGACATAACCAAAGACCCTGTAGAACAGGGTTTTGGGCTCCATAGTTTTGATTTGATCATTGCTTCAAATGTCAGTATACAGCCGAAATCAACCAAACATGGACTAATTTAAACATAGGTTCTTCACTCTACATCTCATTTACAAGAAACTCTCAGAAATATACACAAATTACTTGCGCATAATGGTCGATTTTTACTTCATGAGTTACAGCCAGGTATGTCAATTCTACCAGAACCCGCAAACACTCTCCAGTATCAAGATTTCCTGGGGATTCTTATGGAGGGTATGGACGTATTGCCATTTTTCATAACGGCACACTTAATGGTGCACCAACGTTGTTTTCATGGAGTACCTCCATGTAACTCAGCCAAAATAAGGGAAACGAGCAAAACTCCACTGTCAAATAGTGGACAACTTTGTGTATGTTTACTGACGCACCGATAGGAGTATTGTCTACTAGCTATATTACCGTACGTGAAAACCCTTTCATAATCACTAGTCAACTGCTTGGTAACTGACAAGTCGATAGGGATTGTTGTCTGACTGGCAAACAAGCGAAGAAGAGGATAGACTTGAACAACCATACTTGTCTCCAGAGAGATGGGATCAGGAACTTCGTGCAGCCGGTTTTACCGGGAATGAAACGATAAGTTACGACTTCGACATGCCCAACCAGACAGCGTTCACCATACTATCGAGTCTCGCGCCTACACTAATCAGTCGAAATGATATTACGCTGTTGGCTGATGATTCCACTAGCCCATGGGCTAAAGAACTTGCATCTAACCTTTGCGAACAGGGTTACAACGTGCATTGGGGCTCACTAAACCAAGCTCCCCCCGCTAACCACTGTATTGTTTCTTTGTTAGATCTGGATGGACCCTATCTCCATACTGTATCTGAGCAGCGTTACTCTGCCCTTCACGCGTATCTCATGGAAATGGACAATTCCAAAATGATGTGGGTAACGAAGACTAGCCAACTTACCTGCGGAGACCCTCGTTTTGGGTTGATTTTTGGACTCGCCCGGACACTGAGACAGGAGATGGCTCTCGACATTTCTACCTTTGAAACAGACATTTTCGACAGTGTGGCACTAAATGCATTAATAGATGTCCTTACGAAGGTTGAAAAATCTAGGGCTTTCTCTGAAAATGATCTTGAATATGAATTCAGCTTTCACTGTGGTACCATATATACTGGTCGGTGCCACTGGGCCTCGCCTCAGAGTCAGATGCCAATCGAGCCTTTAAAGGAACAGCCACGGAAACTAGAAATTGGGTCTCTTGGGTCGGTAGATACACTTCGCTGGGCGCCCTTCGATACCGAAGAGTTGACGGGAACCGATGTCGAGATCGACATGCATTACCTTGGGCTGAACTTTAGGGTAATGACATTGTGCCATTCCGCCACAGTGTGGACACTACAATAATTTCCTGGGGTCTTCTATATTTTAGTCAATGAGCTAGATAATGCCACAGCTATCAGCCGGTACAGCTAGACATCTCTGCTACCTTGACAAAATATAGGCATTCATTCAGGAACTTGCGGTGGTGATCTCCTTCCTTTTTGATACAGTTGGCTAACTAAGATTATAGGACGTTATGGTAGCAATGGGGCTATTTGGAAACCCCGAAGAATTCGGCATAGAAGGTAGCGGCGTTGTTCGCCAGGTAGCACCCGGAGCCACTGGCTTCAAACCAGGGGACAGAGTTTTTGTGCTAGCTACGGGCGCCTTTAGATCTAGAGTTGTGAAGCCAGCACACATGGTTACTCACATCCCAGATGATATAACACTAGAGGATGCAGCAACAATGCCTTGCGTGTATTTCACGACCATCTTATGCCTAGAGACCCTAGCACATGTCAAGGAAGGCGAGGTAAGTAGTTGTCAAGACTGCAGGCGTTGCAGATGCTAACAGCTTAGTACAGTCCGTGTTGATTCATTCAGCCTGTGGCGGAGTTGGTCAAGCGGCAATCCGAGTCTGCAAAGTTCTAGGTGCAGAGGTATATATCTCACAAAGGCCTATTTTGGCTAGTTACTTCTTTCTAACTAGCTCTACGTGCTCTCTAGATTTTTGCCACCGTTGGTACCGAGGAGAAAGTTCAGTATCTTATGGACCATTTTGATATCCCTCGTCATCGTATATTTAACTCCCGAAGTGCAGATTTCTTGCCTGATGTCATGCGCGAGACAAATGGAAGAGGCGTTGATGTTGTGTTAAATTCACTTGCAGGAAAATTACTACACGCTTCATGGCAGTGCGTTGCGCCGTTTGGCAGGATGATTGAACTTGGAAAGCGGGACTTTTTAAGTAACGGGCATTTGAACATGGCGCCCTTTTTAGAAAACCGTTCATTTATTGGATTTGATTTAGGGCAACGGCACGCGCTGGATGCTGAAACCTGCGAGGAGTAAGTGGGCAGCCCTAGTTATTAGAATACCCCATCTAACCTTCAAAACAGAACGTCAAGAAGATACCGGTGGTGGTACGATCAGAAGAGAATAAGCCCCATTCGGCCAGTCAAGGTCTACGATGCCGCTGAAGTTGTGGATGCCTACCGATATATGCAGCAAGGATCTCATATGGGCAAGATCCTAATCCGAATACCCCAGGACTTCACGGCCTCCCCATTTACAGGTGTAAAGGCGCCGATTGTGTTCTCTCCAGATGTCTCATACCTTCTAGTCGGGGGGCTGGGAGGGCTTGGTCGTTCAATCTCCTCTTGGATGGTGGAACAAGGTGCCCGCTATCTGGTGTATCTATCACGGTCCGCAGGGCAATCGGAAAGGGACCAGGCATTTATGCAAGAGCTCAAAGATCAGGGTTGCCATGCAGTCTGTATTGCTGGCAGTGTAGTGGACCTAGCAGATGTGAAATCTGCCATTGCCCAGTGCCCTAAGCCTATTTCCGGCGTTATTCAACTGTCCACCGTTCTCAAAGTCGGTCCTCCTAATTCGTATCCTCAGATTTGAAACAGGCTAACGGTTTGCGTACCATATTAGGATCGTACCTTTAGTAAGATGTCTTATGAAGAATGGGAGACATGTCTGGAAACCAAGGTTCAAGGGACCTGGAACCTACACAATGCGCTGACAAACGAAAAGCTGGACTTTTTCGTCAGTTTCGGTTCCGTATCCAGCGTCTGTGGGAATATAGGGCAGGCCAACTATGCCGCTGCCAACGGGTTTCTAACCAGCTTCACTCAGTACCGCCGTCGGCTAGGGCTGCCTGCTTCCGTTCTTGAGCTAGGCATGGTGGACGAGGTCGGCATGGCAAGCAGTAACGAGGCGGCTCTACAGAATGCCCGTTCCTCCTCACTACGGCTGGTATACGAGGATGAACTGATCGAGGGTCTACGACTGGCCATTCATCAGTGCCGCAGACCCCCTTCACCAGACTCGATGATGTCTAGTTCCTGCATCATCGGGCTGGGAAACACGAAGCCGTTGTCTGACCCTGGCGTCCGCCCCCTGTGGGCGAGAGATGCACGCTTTGCGCTCTACTCGAACATTGAGTCCAAAGGTGTAGGTACTGGCCAGACGGAAAACAACGAGATCAAGACCTTGCTCTCTAGGATCGGACAGAACCCAGCATACCTGAAGAGCCCGGAATCGAAAGCTATGATCTTCCGGGCAATGGGGAATATGATTATGCAGAACATGGCTCATACGCAAGGCATGGATGATGATGAGCTTGCCAAAGTTGCCATCGACTCACTGACGGCGATCGAGATCAGGAACTGGGTCCGGCGTAACATGGGTCTGGAGGTCAGTCTGGTCGAGATCGGGAAGGCTGGAGCCATTGGCAAGCTGGCGGTAACAGTTCACGAGCTGATGATGGCCAAATATGGGATCAACGGAGAAGCCCCTGCTGTCGACTAGGTATTCATTCTAGGCTTGACACGAGTACCTCTTTTGGCCATGCCATGTCAACGGACCTTTAGCGGTGACAAGCCATGTATCAGTATGACGGCCCTCACAGTCCCATAATTAGTTCATCCAGTTAACCAGTCAACTGTGCTCTGTGTCTGATATTCCATGGATACCGCAGGATGCATATGCAATGCAACGCAACGCCGTGAGGTTCACATCCATACATACGTACGACACGAATCGAGATCTAGGCCAGAGGCTCATCTTTTCCCCCCCTTTCCATACACATGTGTACATAAGTAGATGTCATGGAGTGTAGATGGTTCTACCAAGTAGATGTAGAGTAACCGTGGCTGTCCTATGAACGGTAACTAATCAGTATCTATTGGTCATCCTATTACCTCATAGCTCGCACTTCCTTACGGCATGTTAATAAATATCACAAGTATTATTATAACTATCGAATTAACGACTCCAGGTTTTTCATCTCGAGGGTGTCAAAAGACGGACCTGAGTGTGTCAAAGAAGCAGCCTGCCAGCTACTTTATACGCACATAAACTACATTATATTACAACTAGCTGCAGCCGACTTGCATCTCACATCGACCTTTCTTTTCTCCATCTATATTTCCATCCGTCACTTAAGAACTATTAACTAAATATTCTATTATTTGGGACTTTGTTTTTTCTTTTTCTTCGTCTTCCTCATCTTTCGGAATTCACCACCTTGGAACGATATCTCTCTTCGCCTGCATCAACTTGACTACAAAACCAAGGAATAATAACTTACAGAGTACAGCTACGCCGGTAACGTCTGCCTGCTGCATTATCTCCTGCTAGGCCTGCAGAGAGAGTAGAATTCAGCCGCCTGTCACGCCCTCTAATTTGAATAGGTCGAAAGAAAGAAAGGGAAAAAAAGGCCCTATCTGGCGGCCGGTCTAACGGCTTCAGCTGCGTCTACTTGTCTTATTCTGTCTTGCCTTCTCCATCTCGCCTCGGCTAGATCACACGCCCGCACAGAGAGACCTGGGAAAGACTAAGAGAGAGAGAGAGGCGCTGGTGTACGGTGTACGGTGACGGCGTGCGGTGTGCAGCCTGGCAAGGTCGAGATCAAAGAAGCAGACATGATGCAGGGCTTCTTCCGGAGTATATATGACTGGCTGTTGAGGATGTTCTGGTATGCTGTTCGGTTTCCGACGAGAGAAGGACGAACTTGGTAGTCTTTTGAGGCTGACGAGGTTTCAGGGCGACGGAGATGGACGTGACGATGGTGGGCTTGCAGAACGCAGGAAAGTCGTCTCTGCTGCGAGTGCTGGCGGTAAGTAGGCTTGTTGATGAAGATGTCGACACTTGAACGGAGCGTCCTGCTGACTGTCTGTGTGAAACGGATTAGGGAGGAGAGTTCACTGTCGAGTATGTGCTGGGTGGCGAATATCGTGTGTTTTTTTATCTTGGACTGACCAGGAACTTGGAAAAAAACAGTTCTATACCCACCATCGGCTTCAACACCAAACGGGTGCAAAAGGGCCACGTAACTCTAAAATGGTGAGTCTGCTCTTTCGTCCGACGGCGGCAGTAGACGGTGATGATAGACTAACATATACCAACAGCTGGGATCTGGGTGGTCAACCTCGCTTCCGACCTATGTGGGAGCGATACTGTCGAGGTGTCAACGCCATCGTGTAAGCTGATCTTCCGCTGGTAAAAGAGAGAAAGAGAAGAAGAAGAAGCATACGAGACCAGGCTAACGAGAGGTAGATACATCGTGGATGCGGCGGACAAGCAGAGCCTGGCGGCGTCGACGGACGAGCTGCACGACCTGGTGAGCAAGCCGACGCTGGAAGGGATCCCGCTGCTGGTGCTGGGCAACAAGTCCGACCTGCCGGACGTGCTCTCCGTCGACGAGCTGATCGATGCGATGGAGCTGAAGAGCATAACGAAGCGGGAGGTGAGCTGCTACGGCATCAGCGCAAAGGAAGAGACCAACCTCGACGCCGTCCTGCGGTGGCTCATCGCCCGGTCGAGCCGGTGATCTCTCGTCATGTTCTCTTCTTCTTCGCCTCTTCTTCCGTTTAATGTCTTTCGGAGCATGCTGTGTGTAATACTAATCAAGTCTACAGTTCTTTTTTTTTTCTTTCTACGGCCTTCTTTTCTTCGTCTTCTCTTCTTGTTCTTCTTGTTTATCAAGAAGTTCTTTTTCGATGCGTTGGCTCTGCATATCACAGCCAGCCAATGAGAATGAAGTTTTAATCATGGTACTTCGTCACAGTAAACATTTGATACTAGAAGCTGATAGAGGATATTGCATGGTATTGTTGATGGTATATATTGGTGTAGGGGACTAGAAGTTGCATCCAGACGCCTCCTGATATAGATACAGCGAGAGTTGAGCCTGGAAAGATATCCCAGAAGAGAGACAAGGACAACAGGCTGCCCCTGCAGAAGCCATGGCCATGACGTGCACCGGAAGAAACCCCAGACAGCTGGGGTTGCCCATGGTCTCGTTGAGCAGCTATGGCAACCCCAGCCTCTGCATCGACGCAACCATCATCAGGGTAACAAATCAACACTACTCCTGATGTAGTAAGTTGTTACAAGTTGTTGCAAGTCTATATATGGGCCTTTGCCGCGTAGTTATAGACACTTCATACCACTTCTATACGGCTTCTGCTACATCTGCTACATCTACATACAAGACATAAATATAAGTATTACGTAACATTCCACCTTCGAGATCGACACGTGACTGAATGCGGCTCTTATCCTTACTAATCAGTGGCTTAGTCGTTTAGTCATCTTTGCAGGGCGCAGCTTTTCTTCTCTTTTCTTCTCTCCTTTCTTCTCTCTTCTCTTTCTTCTCTATATAACTTCTCTATCGTCTGCATCCCTATATACATCCATCATCCATCATCCGTACATCTATATCTATATCTGCATCTTACATCTATATCTACATCTGCATCTGCATCATCACGTGACGCCAAGACCGCAACTGACTTGTTTTCCGTTTTCGGCCTTGAAGTGACTTTTTCGTCTTTTTCCAACGTCGAAAAGAAAAGAAAAGGTTGAATATTCAATATCGAGGATTCATATCGAGACCGCAGGGAGAGCAGGAAAGCAGAGGGCAGAGCAAGGGATCTAATTGAGCCGGGAAGATGGGCGTCATCGCAGAGAGATACTTGTAAGTTGCCTCTTCTACCCTGTGTGTACATGTGTATATGCAGAGAGAGAAAACAAGAAACATCAGGCTAACTGGCGGCGCGCGCAACAGTTCGAGTGGCTACTACGACGACGGCTACTACTACTACTCGCCCTGGGATCGCTGGGGACGCTGGGTAGTCCTCGCCGTCATCATCGTCGGCGCCTTTTTCATCTTTCTCCTCTTTTCGTCAGTCGCCCTGGTGGTCCCTCTCATGACGATATAGATATATGCATGTATGCTAACCGGAGAACAGGTGCATATCTGCCCGCCGCCGCCGTCGCCAGGGTCTGCGGCCTCTAAGGGGTACGGGATGGGCAGGGATGGGCCAGCACTACCCTCAGTATGGCCAGCAGCAGCAGCAGTATCCCCAGCAGTACCCTCAACAGCAACAGTACCCTCAGCAGTATCCTCCGCAGCAAAGTGGCGTTTCCAGCCCTCCTCCTCCTCCTCAGTACGGCGCTGCCCAGGATTACTACGCACCCCAGCAGACCGGAGTAGAGTTGCAGCAGCCTCCCAACGCCTATGGACAGACGTACCCCGGCCAAAAGGCTTCTTGAACCTCTTGAATCCCCCCCTTTTTTTTTTGCCCTTTGCTTTCGCTTCCCTATGCTGTAATTGTCATGTCATGTCTTATGCTGTATACCTATCTATATATCCCCTTTCTCTCTCCCGTATTAATTCGATAATGCCAATCCTCGTTTCTCTCTTTCATCATGCCTTGTGGCGCATGCTTACTTCTCGTACGTAATGTTTCCCCTCGTAGCGTTTGACAAGACCGGATAAAAAAAAACCTTGCAAGCTTAGCGCATGAAAATTCGTTACTTTATATCCGTTGTATCTTCATCATCGCATGTTCTGCCAAATATATACTGTCTAATGGTAATATTCCAAGTCACTCGTTGATCGCCTCGACCTGCCCGGCTCGTGATATCTTGTTGCGGGTGCGACTCCAAGCCTTCTTTTTATCATCGCCAACCAACCACCAACCACAACGCCAACCAAGGGACTCGACAGTCACTCGTTCAGCCTTTCAAGAATTGAGTCGCCAGTCGAAAAGATCATATATCACAGTCTCTCTTTCTCCCCTGTTTGATGTTCGAGAGGGAGGGGGGAAGCTCATGCCGTCGCCTTTGCTCTACATTCAAGCCAGCCGCAGTTATACAGCCATTGCTATTATAGCCCACCAATAGCCTGCGATAAATTGATAGATCGATATCGATAGGCCGCTATAGTGGTCAACAGACGATAGCGATAGACGTAGCGATGGATCCTCTCGAGTTTACGCCGTGGCATCAGCTGGCGCCGCGGGCCATCGCCGGAGACGTCAGGGACACATTCTCCAGCTGGGACAAGTGCATGGCCAAAAACTACTGCAAGTCAGCTATCCCTTCCATCTGTCTATCTACCGTGTCTTTTTAACTACGATATACTGACGACGTGGTAGATGGCCTGCTATCGTTGGAATCGCCGTCGGCGGCATCATCCTGCTCAGCGTCATCTGGTGTCTGGTCGGCTGTCTCTGCTGCGGCTATACGTGCTGCAAGGGATGCTGCGAATGCTGCTCGTGCTGCTGCCCTTCGTCCTCTCGCAAGGCTGGACCCTCGTCTTCCTACACGGGTCGATCCAAGTTCGCGGACGAGACTCCTTACTCTGGCTACCAGCGTCCTGCACCGCCCGTCTACCAGCAACCGGTCAACACGGCCGCAACGACACCCAGTTATGCGCAGTTTGACACCCCGGGCTCCCGTCAGGGGCCCACAGGCGGCAGGGTCAACGACGACGCCCTGCCAAACATGCCTACCTGGCAGGATTCCACCACCAGAAGAGTGGAAGACACCTCCCGTCGAGACGATGAGATGGAAATGACCCATCTCAACCCCGTGACCGGTCACAGCGTCGTGGACGACGGAGCAGGCGGAGCAGGATACTACCATCATGTTTCATCGCAGCCTCCCTCGCCTCTCTACGGAGACCGTGCCAGCCATCAAAGCTCAGCTCACATGACGGGGGCGGGATACAGAGGAACGGACCCGATCAGTCCCACCCACGCCAGTGCCATTGGAATAGCACACTCGCCGGGCTACGGACAGGCACCGTCAAACACCTACCTGGACTCGCAGCAGACCACGGGCCAGGTCTACTCCCCTCCCAGGTACCAGACTCAGTCTCCTTCCACCATCCGCGGGCCTTCAGCAGGCGATCCGTACGGATACGCAGAGACAAGGAGCTTCACTCGCTCTCCAGTACAGAGAACACGAGCTACCCCTTCGCCCAGACCACCGCTCTCCCCCATACAGCCATACAGTCCCGAACGTGCTGGCCTGCCATACCCCAGTCGGCCATACTCGCCTGTTCAGACGCCGCAGCAGCCGCAGAGGACGTATACTCCCTACTCACCCTCTACTTCGACACCGCCACCGCCCTGGTCGTCCACAGATCAGCCACGGGATGCAGAGGGCCAGTCTCAGCCGCAGCGAGCACCCAGCCTATTGATGGCAGGCAGGAAACCAGTGGAAAACTCATGGAGAGATGTGTAGCTTAAATGCCCGTCCTTTCCCCCCCCCCTTTTTTTTTCTTCTTCTTCTCCTTACCTTCACCTTGGTTGGTCTCTTTTATGTCCGTTTTATGTCCGTTTTATGTTCTCGGTTGGACATGGATTTTGGTGTATATTTTTTTTTTCACTTTGTCTTCTTCTTCATAGACATGCTGGTGCGCTGTCTACCCATCTTATTAGTTTCTTCTTTTCTTCTCCTTCATGTCATCCAAACTGGAACGGACGGTAATGAACTTGATCTGGCGCAACGGGCGGCTATATATTTTTTTCTTCTTCCAAGTCTATTTGATGACTTACAAATCTAATATGATTTTTATACTCCCTTGTTACCAATATGTGCATTTTTGGCCTATAAAACTTATTTGTTGCCCAATTCATTGATTTAATACTCCGGCTCCATGTTTATGCACCTGATGAAAAAAAGCTAACATGCAAAATATGACAACTAAGCAACCAGTTTCCAGCCTGAGTGCTTGACCCTAGCAAAGACAATCAATCCGCCTCCTACGGCGATGAGAACGGCGCTGAAGATGATTGCTTCGTTATATCGGCCTCCAGACATCGTCAAGATGGCGCCCATCATCGGCGAGCTGGTCAGACAGAACAGCCCGAGAACACCCATCGTCATGCCCAGGTATGTTCCTATCTGGTTCGCTCGGGGAGCAGTCACGGCCACGGCGGCAGGGAACAGGCCGATGATGGCGCCGGAAGAGAAGCCGAACAGGACGGCAAAGACGATGATGCCCGTCAGCGAGGTTGCTGCCAGCCAGCTGAACATGAGCACGGCAGAGGCTAGGATAGCAGCCAGAAGGGTGTTGAATCTGCCGCACACGGTGGTCAACCTTCCGCATACGATCCGCCCCACGAACGAGCCAGTGTTGTATATCGGAAGGATATAAAATGCCCAGTCGACGCTGACGCCTTGCCGGATGGCGAATGACGGCAGGAAGAAGAAAGGCGTGTATATGCCCCAGAAGATCAAACAGTAGCCGACCAGCTGAGACACGTAGACCTGGTCCCTGAACGCAGCGGATAGGAAATGCGGTCCTCTCCGCGGAGACACTCGAGGCGTTAGTGTCGCGCAGGCAATGCACAGGAAGAAAAGAAATATAACACCCACACCCCGCACGGCCCAGCCAAAGCCGATACGAGAATGCTCTAACATCTGAAGCAGGGAGATAGGGAAGATGACACCGCCCAGGGGGGAGCCAGCAGAGGCGGCGGCGATGGCCAGATCACGACGCCGGTGGAAGTAGTGGCCCATGATGGAGATGGACGGAGTGTAGAGCATGCCGACACTAAAGCCACCTAGCACGCCCTGGGTGAGGATGAACTGATAGTACTCCTTGCAGATAGAGGTCACCATCACTGAGATCAGAGCTAGCAGTGAGAACGGGACCAGTATAGGCTGTCTTGACGTTAGACAGACCGTATAAACAAACATATATTGTATATTTGCTTTAAAGACCACTCACTTTGAGGCCATACCTATCGACCAAAGGGCCTGATATCAACCCGGTAGTGCATATGAAGAAGGCCTGCAGTCCGCCTATCCACGCAATCTGGGAATGGGTGTTTTCCTTCAGCAGATGGGTGTGGTAGTATGCCTCGAAGACGCTATATGTACAGATTCTTCTAGTCAGCCATCTCATATATTAAAACAGCCTGTTTAAGGAACCTGATGTCTATCACTAACCCGAACGTACTAATCCAGCCGAAAGTGCAGGCCATGGCACAGAATGCTCCCAGGAGGTTAAGCCATGCCTTGAGGCCGCCCTCCGGATACGTCTCTACTTCGGCATCTTCTCCATCAGACTCTGGCTTCGTCTCTGTCTCCGTCTCTGTATCCTGCTCTGCCTTTACCTTAGGTGGCGGAGGGAGCCCTGTCTCGACCTGAGGCATACAGTCCATGTTCTCGCAGCCCATTATTCGGACACGACCTTGATGCAGCCGTATATTGCTTGCAGCTATTTGAGCTTTGCCCTATGCACAGAAACCGCCGGCAGCAACGGCTACTATCTATATATAAGGCCTAGTGATATATATATCAACATTAGCTGTCAGCCATGACCCGCAGGGCTGATCAGCCTGGTTTGCAAGCTTGCTTGCTTGCTTCCTTGCTGGTTACAAAACTGCCAGTAATGGTTCTCCCTGCTATCCCTGCCTGTCATGCATGGGAGCAAAGAAACATCCTTCCAGCCTGCAATCAGCCGGCAAAAGGCCTCGGCAGAGAAGAGACATATCAATGTGTATAGCTACAATAGGCCCAGCGCCGAGAACGCTTCTTCGAAGGCTTCTCGCTTGATCGACGGCAGGCTTCTCCGGCCTTGCAGCGCCCATCATTGGAAGTATCGTCTCCGCTGTCTCATCCAGGGTTTGATGTTTGATATTCAACATTTGATCTCAAGTCGACAATTGCGAGACGAACCGGAGGCCAGTGAATCGGCCGATTAGCCCCTGTCGGTGTGGAAGGGTAATAGTGCAACGGCTCAACGAAAAGTAGCGTTTGGGCCGCCACGAATGGGCAAGCTCGGGAGTTCGTACTATATGTACGTAGCTCCCAAATAGCTACTCACGAAAAGCCGGAGAAATAAGCAATTATTGGCGTGGGATGTTGCATGCGGGTTGGACAAGCTGCAAATCTAAGCCTATCAAGCTTAGGCTGGTATCTATACCCATACAGACCGCCATAAGTATATGGAAAGGAATAGCCGAAACATTGAGTAATAAAATAGCATTGAAGCGAGAGACCAGAAAAAAAAAAACACAAGTTGTACCATCTTTCTATCACCTTCTAATCACACTTCTTCCTTCTCTTCAGACTGCCTAACTTTACGGGTGTCTCACATCCAGGCTCTCCATCACATTTCCCAATCTTCACCTCGCCGCCAGAGTCGGTCACCAGGAGCAGGATTCCAGCACGTAGACCAGGGTCTTCTGGCAGGTCAGGGCACTGTTTGCGCATGGCAGCGTACTCTGTCTGGACCGATGGATGCATTTCAGACAACTTTTCCGCAGTCCCAGTCTCTCTACCGTTGTTGGTAGAGATTGCATTGGGGGTGAGTAGGCTGGCGGCAGAGGTAGCCATCGCGTGCTCGCGAGAGTTTCCGTCCGTTTGTGTCCTCTGCTTCTTCTTGACAATATCGGAGCCGTTTTTTGAGTACGTTCGGGTGAGTGAGGTCGCTGCGAACAGCGTCGTGAGGGTAGATTCTGCGTTTCCCAAACTGCTTGCTGTGGCGTCTGCTGAAGAACCGGTCGATGAACTATTTGTATGCGTTCGAGCTTTGCGTTTGTTGCGGAGGATACTGCGTCGTTTACTTGCTCGCGTTGAGAAGCCTGACAGCCCGCGTATCCTGTAGGTCATGACGGTGAATATATGTATATATAAGTGAGTATGGCAAATGAAGGAGGTTTCCAGCCAGGCGTTTCGTTTTTATCTACAACTTGCTTGCTAGCTGTATAATAGGCAAAGAGAAGAAGAGAAAAGCCGAGTTGATGTTGATAGAGAAAAAGAAAAACATTTGGATGTTTGGTGTAGTTTCCCTTTTTGGAAGTTTCCGTCTCCTTATACAGATTTCGATGATATTCGGTAAAAAAGATGTGTATTAATACATGATAAATGGTTGGGTATCTATAAAAGGGTATCAGTGTCAGTTATCAGTAAGAGAGAAATCAAACTTCTCGAAAGCCTTCTTGAAGGCATCTACATCGGCCGTCTCCTCTTCTTGAGACTGCGATGCGTCCCGCCAGTTCACACGGTCTTCCAGCCCGAGCAGCTTTGCCATCACTGTCCGGCCGAATTGGACATCGAACCGGAACTTGTCGCTCAGTGGAAGAACCAGAGTCGTCTCGACACCTCTGTCTGTGACTGTTTCCTCGTCCGACAACTGTTTTGGAGCCCAGATCCATACACGGAAATAGTCGCCTGGTTCGTCATTGTTTGTAGCTCGTTTCTCAACCTTTGGGTACTCTAGATTCTCGGCTTCGACCTTGAACGCAGCTTCGACCAGACCACGGTGTATCAGGTCTGACTGAACTGGCATAAACTGCCAGTGGATGTGGACGCCGCGACCCCGGCTCACTTCCCAAGTGACCGCTCCCAGAGCCCCGCCAACCTTCTCTTGCAGCATAGAGTGGAGTGAAGATCTGTACTTCTGAACCTCAGTATACGTAGCTGATCTAGAGTCGGCGTCATCAATCACTGCCAGGGAGGCCGCGTGGATCAAGGGTATTATAAGGATATGGCCGGGAAAGCCTAGAGTGGAGAAAGTATCTCTGGTTGGCAATGGCCCCTTGGCGGTTGTAAGATAGCAATCAGATCCGATGGAAGTAATCAGATGTGTTGCGATGCTAGGGTTCGAAAGACAAAAAAAGCATTCCGATGGGCCAGGCACATCTCTTCTTGCACGTTTTGCCGGCCGCTGCCAGCCATCATCCTGCCTGAAGCGGGTATATGACGCTTTCTGACTAGGTAGTGGTCCCCGCTTGCCTGGCGTTGCAGTAAGGGGGGTTATTGTGGTTCCCGCTGGAACTGAGGTAGGGAGCACGCTTTTAGGATCTAGAGTAAACGCGTACAGCCACTTCTGCTTTGACGTTGTGGAGAACGGTGCCAGGTTGATGAAACGAGTGATATGCTTTTCAACTGTATATTCATCTACTGGGACGTGAAAGAATGGCTCCCGTTCGTAAAATGTTCCGGCAGCAGACGAAAAGTGATAGCGAGGTTTCAATGCTAAGCAGACATTCGCGACGCACTGGCTGCCTTCAAGCGTGATATCTCCCGTAGGGACATTTGAGCCTTGTTCAATTGATTTTGGCCATTGGGACGTAACTAGAATATCGGCCTTTTCCGCTGAACATAAAGATTGTGCATCTGTCTCTGTGTGGTATGGAAGATATTTCTCCTCTACATCAGCGTTTGAAGGCTCTGGCCCATCGATGCCACCAAGAGTAGCAATCCTGATCCCCTCAGACGTAGTGAGTACTCCTCGTCTCCCCAAGTAGAAGAGATTCGGGCAGATTTCATCGTCCTTGGAGAGCTTCTCAGCCACCTCTTTTGGGATGCCATATCTCCCGACGGTAAAATAGGTAGGCAGGACTACCTCTATGGCTCCCCGAAGCAAAGCGCTGAGCTCATCTGTAGAGTCTTCAGCAGAAGAATCTCCAAAGAGATCTCCAGCAATTATGGCACACGCGAATTGCTGTTTGGCCTGCAATTTCTGAAGCTTGCCAAATACGCCTCGAAAAGACGAGTTGACGCTTCCTACAACGATTCTATGTATCCAGGTTAGCATCACAGAGTTCACTGGGTATATCTAAGCTCATCTTACACTTTTGATGCCATATCCTTGCCCGCAGCCACTGTTTCTTCCTTGATATCAGGTTTATATTCTTCCTCTTGAAGGCTTTCGACCTTCGGTTTTTGCTGATGTAAGATGGCTTAGTCATCATTAGTTTAGTCACGAATTAGTCAGGTCGGATAAAAGAATATCCGCAACATTGAGAAAGCATAAAAAATATATCAAAAAAAAAAAAATTATAGAAAAGAAAAAGGATTGATAGCTAACGAAGCGACGGTGAAGACGAGCTGTGGCAGCTGGTCCACGATGGTTACGGCGTCTTCGAGCCATCGGAGCAAGCCTCCCAGGCTGCTAAAAGGCGGCACGGCGACTACAAAGTCCCATCGATGGGAACCCTTCTCTCAGCGTGTGCTTAAACTAAAGATCGACCCTGTCCATCGAGTGCGCCGAACGAGCTTTGGCGAAGATGACGCTGACGAGACGTCTTCCTGTTTCAGGGCCTCTCTGGAGCATTGGATGGAGCTTAATCTATCGGAAAATTTTACGGAGTTTGTCGGGCGTGTGAACCGGCTATGCGAAAGCCTTCCACAGATACTATACCACCAGGATGCGATTATGGGCTTGCTAGTGGAATATATTGAGAAGAAGGATGAATTGAGCATGGAACCGCTGCTTAGCTTGATGGCACAGTTTGCGCGGGACCTTGGCCCACGATTTGAGAAACATTTTGCGACTGCTGTTCAATTGGTTGCTTCGGTTGCGGCCACCCACCAGAGCATCGACGTTATAGAATGGAGCTTCACCTGTCTTGCCTGGATATTCAAGTTTCTATCTCGTCTCCTAGTCCCGGACTTACGGCCACTGTTGGCGATTATGACGCAGTATCTAGGAAAGGAACACCAGAAACACTTTGTCTCCCGTTTCGCTGCAGAATCCGTCTCATTTCTTATCCGGAAGACTGCTGCGGTTTACTACAAGGACAAAAAGCCGCTCGAGCGTGCAGTCACCTTTCTCTTCCAGGACCTGGCCAACATGAGCGCCGAAGGCCGGCAGGTTTCCTCTTATCAAGAAGGCCTTATGACCATGTTTGCAGATGCGACAAAAGGAATCAAGGGTGCCGTCCACTCCAACGGCATAGATATACTACGATGCCTAATGAAGTCCGTATGTGTAAAGGATAAGAAACAGAGTTCATTATCAGAGTCGGTTCTCAGCGGCGTTTTGATCAACATCGTTCACTATTGTACTGCCGACACCTTTCGTTCTGTCTTGTATGCCGTTTGCGAATTTAATGAGTCGACTTCAGCAAAAGAAAATACCGTTGTCGCTCGAGTTGGATGCCATGCTTTATTCCTCTGTATCGTTACGAGGAAAGGCTCTCGAGTGGCGGACTGGAACCGAGTCCACACTGTCCTTCTACCTCTACTCGCCAAGGCAGCCGAAAAAAGCAATGGCTTTCCCGCTGAGTCAATTAAGGAACTTCTCGGTTCCGTTGCCTTTGCAATTCAGGCCTCCCCGATGGACGAATTATTACCACACATGCGCCAGATCATGGATGCCGTTACCCACCAGAGACTCTCGAAGTATTTTATACCGTTTTGCGACCTGATTGCTGGTTTGGACGCGGAGAGGTTTCAGAGTGTTGTTCACCCGTATTTTCAGAAGTAAGCTGCCTTTTGTGCATTGTTTCCCTCAATTGATCACTAATATGTTCTACAGGTTTATAGTATCTCTATGGGAAGAATACGAGCAAGGCTTATGTGTGGTACTACCCCGACTTCAGTCATCCGGCGCTATTACCTCAAATTTATCCAGACCTGGCTCTTTAAGCTGCCCTAATGCCTGGAAGATGGTCATTTGCAAGAGGCTTAACTTCTCAACCCCCAGCAAAGAGGAAATTTCACTTTTAAATGCGTACTCTAAGCTCCCAGAAGCTATCGGCTTTTCAAGCGAACCTTCCATTATTCCCGATATTACTCGCAGTCTTCATCAAAAAATATGGCGTACGCTAGAATCTGGTTCACCAAACGACTTTGAAACCCTGTTTACTTTGGGTCAGGGGCTGCTGACCTACGTTCGCTTTTCTAACGGACTTGATCAGCTAGACCAAAAGCTGTGGCCCCTACTCTGCTCTAAAGCCAGCCAATACTCCAGGATTCCTGTCTTTCTAGAAGCTATATCGACGTATGCGTCTGTGCTTCGTGAACCTCCTGAAATTTCCGATGCTGACCTCGATCAATTTGCGAACGCCCTCCTTGCTAACCTAGCTAGTCCTTCACATAAGCTAAGATTACTATCCTTGGAAATTTTCCAGCTTATATTTTCATGGCTAAACATAGAAGACCCCTGCTTATCACTTGCACGGAGCATTGAAACCAGTGAACTGACCCTCCAAGCTGCAAGAGTCATATCCATGGATGTACGGCGCCTTGGTGTTAACTATGCGCAAACATCTCATAAGAGATGGCTTGATCGGCTCATCCCAAGTTTCTGTTTTGGGCTGCTATGGAAAAAACTTGCGTCTGTCTGGGACGATGCATGTGAGGCTATGAAGGTAATATGTGAAACAGATATTGGTGAAAGCATAGTTTCTGAGATTGCTATGAACTGGCTGCAAGAGGCACCAGTCGATGTTACCCCTGAACAACTCTCACATAATGGATTGCAAAAGTCCTCCTCAGCCACCTCCGAATACGAGTGTTATAACGTCAACAATATACAAACAGCCATGCATAACTCATTCTGCATAAATGAGGATGCTAGTTTATCGTTGCTGGAGGATTTCGAATCTTCCCACTCAATACTGCCTCTATTATCAAACAATGCAAGGAGTCAGGCACTTAGGGTTTTAAACGCAGTTCCTAAGATCGCAGAGAAGCGGTCGCGCCTGATAGTTCCGCTCTTTTTATCATGGGCTTCACGCGACGATTCTTCATTACCTCTTCCCGAAGACATGTCACCGCCAGAGAATGATGCGATTTTTAGTGAACTTCAAAACTGGAGTATGCAAGACAAAAAGGCAATGCTCACCTTGTTTGGAAAATTCACCAACCCCAAGGTGCTTTACCAAGCTTCAGAAGCACATGATGCAGTATCAGGGCTGCTATGTAACGGTGATTTAGAGATACAAAAACTTGCTCTCAAAGCTCTCTTTACATGGAAGTCACCTGCCATCCGGCCTTACGAACAGAATCTTCTTAACTTGGTTGATGATTCCCGATTTAAGGACGAGTTGGGCATCTTCGTACATGTAGGCAAGGACAACAGTTTAATCAAAAGTGATCATATAGAGGGATTATTCCCCTACCTTTTGAAACTCCTTTACGGCAAGATGGTTGCGCGAGCAGGTTCTCGAGGGTCACTTGGTCGACAAGAGGGACGAAGGAAAGCAATTCTACGGGTTGTCTCCCAGCTCCCTGATGATCAATTCTCTCAGTTTGTTCAGATATCCTTTGGATCACTAGGAGGCATTAATTTGCTCAACGAAAATGGTGCGACCAACGAGAATATTCTAAATAGAGAGTTGATGAGCCTAAGGAAACAACTTGGTTTGTTAAACGTGGTGGAAACTATGTTTTCCATCTTGAAGAGGAATATGTTGCCGTTCGTTAACGAAACGATGAATGTGGTACTATATTGCCTTATCCGAGCGTATAGACAACTAGCTCAGGGTGAAGCAGTTACGTCGGATGATAGTGTCCAACTCACCCTCCTACGCAACATCCGACAGCTAGGAGTCAAGTGTCTTGACTTGGTTTTTTCCATATCCCCAGCAGTGGATTGGAAATCATTTATCCCTCTTATACTTTCGGAGGTCGTTAACCCAAGATTAGACAATTTTTCCGTAGAGACAGCCCAGGCAGTCTCTGGATTGCTTCATCTCTTCCGAACTTGGGCTACATCCCCAAAATCAGCAGTATATTTCGAGGGTACTGATATTATTCCTCGGGTTGTTGACTGCTTAGGCACCGAATCCGCACGAGACGAGGTGAAAATATTTGTCTTAGATGAAGTTCTAATATCGCTGGTTAATGTATCTACTGATACAAAAGTGGACGGTGAAGGTGATGTTGACATATCAGCGCCGCCACCAGATATCATCCATAGCAGGGTCCTGGGGCCTCACATTGAGTATATATTGATGCAGGTTGAGGAATTCCTCAGAAAACAGCCACCCCGCTATATTCTAGGCCCTGCGGTTGAATTTCTATCAAGGCTCTCAGCTCTCGTGGAGTCATCTACAGAATCCTCCAAACTTATCAGTACCACTACATTCTTGCTCCAACAGCCTCCAGATCGAGTTCCTCCAAAAACAAAAGGTCGACTTCTCAAGGTCCTACATCATTTCTTACCCCTATTTCAACAGGAAAATGACCCCGATCTCACCCAACGTATATTTGAGATTCTCTCATCTTTGTTCGACTATTTCAAAGACGGGCCAAATCGCGTGTCTCTGGCTAGCGTGTTTGACATATTTGTTGCCAATGACCTTGAGTTGGCGGAAGTTGGGAGGCTCATTGCTGATCTGAACTCAATGTCTACGAAAAGGTTAGATGAAGTCGATTTCGAACGACGGCTTAAAGCATTTAGCCTCATAAATGAAGAAAAATATTCAACGTTTACGGCGAAACAATGGAGGCCACTTTTGTTCAACATGATTTATCACTTAAAAGATGAGGAAGAGCTTGCTATACGTTCCAGTGCCTCCTTTGGTGTCAAACGGTTCATTCAAATCTCTAAAGCTCAAGAAGATATCCCAGGTACTGAATACCGGGATATGGTCGAAAAAGTGCTTCTTCCCGCACTCCGCAGTGGAGTTAAGCAAAATGCAGAGACTGTTCGTGCAGAATTTGTATCTCTCCTTGGCTATTTAGTTCAAGAGCACGTTGATCTTCAGGCTGTTAGTGATATGCAAGGCTTGTTAGCTGGAGGAGATGAAGAAGCATCATTCTTTAATAACATTCTTCATATCCAACAACACCGGCGTCAGCGTGCATTGAAAAGACTCACTGCTGAGGTTTCCAAGGGCAAGATTCAGGCTACCAACGTTAGTACCATCTTGTTTCCTCTTATTGAGCACTTCGTTTTCCAACAGTCGGAAGATGAAAATGCTCATAACTTAACTGCTGGAGCTATTAATACTGTTGGCTCCCTGAGCGAAGCCATCACATGGAACCAATTCAAAGCTATATTTCGTCGATACCAGGGATACGTTAAAAGCAAGTCGGGCTTAGAAAAGAGCGTTATCCGGCTTCTTAGCCAGATGACAGATGCCCTTTCACATGCCGTTCGAGTAAAAGTTACTCGAGGGGTTACTGAAGAGGTATCTGAAAAAGTGGCGGAGAATATAGCCCTAGATGACGACCAAATTGTCCAAAGCACGCTTAGCACTTCCATTCCCAGGGGTGCCAAACTAACTACTGAGCTCAAGACGAACTTAATACCGTTCCTAACTGGATTCACGAATAAAAGAAGCGAGTCCGACGTCGCTCTAAGGCTTCCTGTGGCAGTGGCTGCCGTCAAGCTACTCAAACTACTACCTGAAAATGAGATGGCTCTGATGCTACCTCCGCTTCTACTGGACGTGTCAAACATCTTGCGTAGCCGTGCACAAGATACCAGGGATATCGCAAGAAAGACACTTGCCGATATTGCTATCATCCTCGGACCGTCATACTTTGGATACATCCTTGCAGAGCTGAAGGGTGCTTTGAGTAGAGGGTATCAGCTTCACGTACTCTCGTTCACTGTTCACTCAATTCTTGTCGCAACCGCTGATAAGTTCGAGGTTGGTGCGCTGGATCAAGACCTCAGCACTCTTGGGGAAATAATTATGGACGACATTTTCGGCACTGTTGGCCAGCAGAAAGATGCTGAAGAATATGTCAGCAAAATGAAGGAGGTAAAGAGCAGCAAAAGCTATGACTCGGCAGAATTGTTGGCCAAAAATGCCAGCATTAGGCACATCTATGACCTTGTCCGCCCTGTTCAATTACTCCTCCAGGAGAAACTCACAACAAGCCTGGTGGGTAAGATAGATGAGCTACTACGGCGTATCGGTATTGGCTTGTTACGAAATCCTGGGGCGGAAAGCCGCGACCTCTTGATGTTTTGCTATGAGGTCATGAAAGAGTCGTATAAAGTCCCTGAGCCGGTAGTGTTAGACAACGACGAATGGAAAACGAGAAGTCGATTCCTCATTCAAGTTGCCTCCATTCAGAAGAAGAGCGGCGGAAGTACTACATCATATCTTTATAAACTCGCTCGCTTTAGCTTGGACGCCCTTCGCTCGGTGCTCAATAAATATAGCTCGCTGTTGACTGTTGATAATGTTGCTGGATTCGTCCCTATTATCGGTGACTCTATTGTCCAGGGATATGAAGAAGTCAAACTATCAGCTATTCGTCTCTTGTCCACCATTATCAAGCTTCCCCTACCCGAGCTTGACAAAAACGCCGACGTTTATATTGTCGAATGCGTCAAGCTAATGAAGGAATCAGCGAGCTCAAACACCGACGCCTCACAAGCAGCTCTCAAACTTGTATCCACAGTGCTACGAGAACGAAAACGCACTACTATCAAGGATTCGTATCTTGCATATCTTCTGCAACGCGTGTCCGCAGATATCGACGAGCCTGATCGCCAGGGGATTGTGTTCAATTTTATTAGAGCTGTAATGTCACGCAAGTTTATGGTCCCGGAAATATATGAAGTGGTTGACAAGATCTCTGTGATGATGGTAACCAACCATACTCGAAATGCTCGTGATCTCGCAAGGGGTACATATGTACAATTCTTGCTTGAATACCCCCAATCCAAGAGCAGATGGAATAAGCAGCTGGCCTATCTTGCTAAGAACTTGGACTATGCCCATAGAGAAGGTAGAGAGTCAGTCATGGAAGCCATCCATCTAATCTTATCGAAAACAAACGGAGAGCCAGCTCAGGAAATGGTTGATACTTTCTTCATTCCTATGGTGATGGTCATGTCCAATGATGAGGCCGCAAGCTGCAGAGAGATGGCTGGTTCTCTACTGGGTATTATCTTTGCTCGTGCTGATGCTGAGCATCTAAAGACAATACTCGCACCACTTAAGTCCTGGCTTGAACAGTCAGAGAATGTTGCTCTTGTGACCACTGGGCTGCAAGCAATTAGAATATTCTTTGAGTCTGATGCCAAAAATAAAGACCGATACGTCAGGTTCGTCACCGATATTTTGCCAGGTATCATGGGCCTTTCTTTGGACAATAGAGAAGCAAACGAGTGGGAGGTCCTATACTACTCTCTGCAACTCTTCATGAAGTTATCGAAGCTATTCCCAGATATTACGTTAATCTCATCTTGTACCAACATCTGGCTCAGCGTCCTTGAAAGTCTATGCTACCCTCAAGCTTGGATACGATCGTGTGCAGCGAACCTAGTCGGTGTCTGGCTGGCTGATATAGCCAAAACTAATGCATCAACCGGCTATGCGTCAATTCCTCTAGTTAGCTCCCTAGGGCTGGTTCTAGATGGCAAGTTAATGCTTCGAATAACCCGTTCAAGCATATTTTGTCTGAAGACACCCAGTATATCAGAGGACCTGGCGACTCAAACTGTTCGAAATCTGATATTCCTTGGGCGCTGCTTTGGCCAGAATAACCTTGAACTTCCAAAGAAAGAGGGGGACAATGATGGAGAGAGCGAAGATGAAGAGGAGGGGACGACATCCAGTCCCAAGCGTGGCAGCGAGACAAAAACTGCAATTCAATATATCTTTGAGCAAGCAGCTCGAATCATTCGAAAAGAAGCCCTCACGACGCGAGCCGAATCACTCAATGCCAAAGTAGCCTGCATGAAGATGATTGCTGCACTATGCAGTCATCTTGACGCCCCGACGGTGATACCATACCTGCAGACCATCTTTCTACCCCTTTTGCATTTGACGGACCCTTCAATCCCGGCACCGCGGTCGTCAGATGAGGCCTTCCAGAGCACCTACATGTCTTTGGTGACCAGCAGCCAGGAGATATTGGATTTGCTACAGAAGAAACTTGGAACTACCGATTTTGTAGCACAAATGAGCGAGGCTCGTGAGCGGGTGAAGGAGAGAAGAGAAGGGCGAAGAGTGAAACGAAGAATCGAAGCGGTCACTGCACCTGAGAAGTTTGGTCGTGATAAGAAACGCAAGCATGATCGAAAGAGAGAGAAGAGAAAAGAGAGAGGATTGGAAAATAGAAATCGACGGCATGAGCTCTAGAGATGCCTTGAAAACTGGTTGCTATTTTATTGCTTTTTTATTCATATGAAGCCTGGGGAAAACGGGGATATTAAAAAGCAGTGCTGATTGGGGGGAAACGGCGTTTTTTTGATAGATTTTGGATAATACACCATCAATATGCAGCATCATATGATAGACCTGAAGCAATTAAGATATTGTACATTGTATATAATACACGATGCAAAAAAAGGAGATCGTTCAACAAGTGATTTTCGCCAAGTCCACAACGGAAACCACTCTAAAGAACCAAAACCATCCCAAGCGCCATCAAAATATCCGAACTAAATGAAACGCTCCAGCATAAATCCAAACCAAAGAACCAGTATGGTGGTAGAATCCAACCTATGAGGATTTTCCGCCCTGTCCTTCACCACTCTTTGGCTGAGCCAGCTCAGATGCAGTAGTGGTAGTAGATTCCGGACTGGCATCTGTCCTTTCCCCATCCTTATCCCACCATTCCATATCTCCCTCCATCGTCCCCTTTGTGATCTTCATGCCCTTCTGGGCCAAAAGGTCCTCCAACGTGACGGGCGCATCCATGAAGATTTTTAAATGGTCACTGATGACATGTCGGTTGCTACAGCTCGGACACGTTATCAAAACGGTTCCCTTGTGATATCCGTGTTTCGAGATGCGGTGCGCTGATCTGTGTGAGCATGGTTTGCACGTAAAGTAGATCAGGTACGCGGGCTCCTGGTCTCGTCGAGACTGAGCTGCCTGGGCCTCTTCTTCCGAGACTGCTGGCGCCTTGTCGTCCGTTAGAGGGTGAGGGTCCCTGGTCGTCGTAGAATAGCTGTTTCTACCCAGCAATGAAGGGAACAGCGCTGAATATCGTGGTAGAAGGCTTGGTGATGCTGAAATGTGTCGCAACGGGGTAGATAAAGACTGAATTCCCTGTCTAGAGAGACACACACGATGAAGTTGGCAAGAAGTCGCGAGTGCACCTCGAAGAAGTTTCTGTCCAGCAGCCATGGTGTATATATATCTTTCTTCTTTTTAGTTGTTGTCAATTTGCTGATATTTGTTTGATATTTTGACATTGAATATTCAATATTTTGATATCTTAAACTTTTTCATTTTTAGCCGCTTACGGATAAAAGATTCTCCGAAATACGTGGCTGAGATTATGTAATACAAAAACTCCCCGCGACTTCAATTTCGAGATTGGAACATTTTGAAGATTGTGAAGCTTCCATGATATTTGATGTTATAGAATGCTGCGAGTTCAATAGCTTTGGCTACGAGCTGGTGCGGAGGAAGAGATACAGTGCCATTGAAAGACTCATTTATAATGCATCTTCGCCCTGCCACTACCACCAGAAGGAGTCCCCGCAGTATAGATTGAGCCATAGACATTCTACATGCTGCTTCAGTATCGAGAACTCTTCTCTATCCTATCTTCTGTTGAAAGGGTGAGCCTGTCCAGTTTCCGGATAGCTTCAAGTTTTCATCATCTGGTCGATAGAGCTTTGACGGTTAGCTCTCCATCATGAAGCCACGGGCCAAAGTCCGGGTCCCTAGAAGGGTAGGTAACTCTCAAGAGCTTTCCTTTTGCCATGTAGAAGCCTCTCTCTCTTTTTATTTACATTTTTTACTACTTACTTGCTTTTATACTACCTGTTAAGAGCTTTAGACCCGCTATAGCTTGCCTTGATTGTCACTGACAGCCGTTTCTAGGGAATGACGGGGCGGAACGAGAACGATGACTTCGCCTCTATCTGGAGCATATTGGCATCTTCCATACGTGAAATTCATACCAAAAACTCCTCTCTGCTCTCTTTTGAAGAGCTTTATCGAAGTGCTTATAAGCTTGTCTTACGCAAACAGGCTATGGATCTATACGATAAAGTAGCCAACTTGGAGAAGGATTGGTTATACAACGAAGTTCGCGGGCAAGTCGCAAGTTTAATTACTCCGGCTCTGCTCACCATCACCGACTCAGCTGATACAATTGAGCATGCAAACGAAAGAAAGGCAGCGGGAGAGCGGTTACTAATAAAGCTCAAGGAAGTCTGGGAAGACCATCAGCTCTGCATGGGCATGATCACGGATGTTCTGATGTACATGGACCGTGTAGTGATGCAAGAACTCCGTCAGCAATCCATATTCGATACATCAATGTGTTTCTTCCGCGACTGCGTCCTGAGATCCGACATTGGTGGAGATGAGAGCGCTACTATTTCTTCCGTCTTCGAAAACACACTTCTCTTCATGATACGGCTTGAACGTGAAGGAGTTATCATAGACCGCGCTCTGATCAGGCACTGTGTCTATATGCTGGAAGGCCTCTACGAGGATGGTATGGATCAGGCAAGTGGGAAATTATACCATACCACCTTTGAGCCTGCGTTTCTTAAAGCAAGCCGCAGATACTACGCCGCAGAAGGTCAGAGACTGCTAACAACCACCGATGCGGCCACTTTCTGTAAGCGAGTCACGGCTAGAATCAGAGAGGAGCAGTCGTGGTGTCAGCAAACATTGTCTCCCGGGACGGAGGCCAAAATTATGGAAGTTATCGATGACTGCCTTATCAGAGACTATATCGGCGAGGTCATACGCATGGACGACAGCGGTGTGAAATATATGACCCAAAACGACAGATTGGAGGACTTGCGCAATGTCCACGAGCTCATCAGTCGCGTTGATGTAAAAAAGGCAGCTTTAACGAAGGTTGTGCAGCAGACCGTCGTTGAATATGGGACGGCCATCAACAATGCAGCCCAGGAATTCTCACAGAATCCATCAGCATCTACGACGCCGGATAAACAGCCGGCTATGAACTTGCAGACTGCTGCCGCAATAAAGTGGGTTGACGATGTCCTCCAGCTGAAGGAGAAATTTGATCGAATATGGGAAGAAGCATTTGTCAAAGATCAATTAATGCAGACATCTCTTACGACAAGTTTCTCGGACTTTATTAATATTAACCCTAGAAGTACTGAATATCTATCTCTCTTCTTTGACGAAAACCTGAGAAAGGGTATCAAGGGCAAGACGGAAGAAGAGGTTGACACACTTATCGACAATGGGATCACCCTACTACGATACATTCGCGATAAAGATCTCTTCGAGGTATATTACAAGAAACATCTCTCTCGCCGACTGCTTATGAAGCGGTCGGTAAGTATGGATGCTGAGCGCCAGATGATTGCGAAAATGAAGATGGAGGTAGGGAACACATTCACACAGAGACTGGAGTCCATGTTCAAGGACATGGCTGTCTCCACTGACCTCACCTCTAATTATCGGGATTATATCTCGCGACAGGGTGATCCAGATCCCAAGCGAGTCGAATTGGAAATGAGTGTTCTCACAAGCACGATGTGGCCTATGGACATAATGAGTAGTTACAACAGAAACGGACAGGTCCAACCTCCATGCGTCTTCCCTAAAAATATCGAATCACTCAAACAGAGCTTTGAACGATTTTACCTTGATAAGCATAGTGGGAGAAAGTTGTCGTGGTTGCCGGGCATGGGAACAGCTGATATAAGAGCCACCTTCAGACGGCCTAACGGCAAGGTCGAACGACACGATCTCAATGTCTCAACATATGCAATGGTCATCCTACTGCTTTTCAATGAATTGCCTGTTGGCGAGTCCCTCACATTTGAGGAAATCCAAGAACAAACTAATATCCCCACTAACGAACTTATAAGGAACCTTCAATCTCTCGCCGTTGCACCAAAGACTCGTGTTTTGCGCAAAGAGCCAATGAGTAAAGGCGTGCAACCTACGGATAGATTCTTCTTCAATGACCAGTTTACAAGCAAGTTTACAAGACTGAAGATCGGTGTCGTTAGCTCTGGCGGAAACAAGGTAGAGAACAAGGAGGAGCGAACAGAAACGGAGAAGAAGACCAGTGATGAGCGAGGAGGTACCATCGAAGCAGCCATTGTGCGAATCATGAAGTAAGTAGTCCACCTCCTTTCTCACGCCCTTTTTCCGCCGTAGCTAACACTTTCCCATAGACAACGAAAAAAACTGGCGCACTCGCAGTTGATCACGGAGGTAATCTCCCAGCTTGCCGCACGCTTCACACCAGATGTGAACATGGTAAAGAAACGAATTGAAAGCTTAATAGACCGCGAATACTTGGAGCGCGTCACGGATTCAGATCCACCAGCGTACACTTATGTTGCATAGACGCGGCAATGACTCTCCAGTTAGTCTCATAGATTTTGGAAAGGTGTTAGCGAACTATTGTAATGATAATGCCGCCATAGGGAGTTATTGTTGTTTGGGGTCTGGTTTTGTGGGTTAACTTAGCTAGACAACAGGGTATTCTTTTTAAGACTGTTCTTTACTTTCTCTTTTCAAAGAGGTTATTTAAGATCATGGAGTGTCTTTAGATGCGCTATGCTGGAATTCTTTTTGGCTAGATGCTAATACGACGTCCGCATGCCATTATATATATATGAACCGTAACCCCATATTCCTTACCCCATACTCCGTATTCCAAACTCCTATAACCAAAATTCAATTAAGATCCACCGTAAAGAGTGAAAACGACATCAAAGAACCTCGATCTCCCCCCGTTTCCATGCATCTTTGACGCCCTCCCACCTAACGACCCAGACCTCCCCCCTGCCCATCTTGCTCCCATACCTTTCTAGGCCTGCCATCCCATCCTCAGCCCCTTCAGCAGCAGGTATGACGATCCTAGCTTCTTCACTCAAACACCTAACGAACACCACTTCCTTATTCTCCGGCGCAACAACCATGTTTGTGCCTCCAACGTTATCGTCCAGTCGTTTCAGATTAGCCGGAAACGAAGATAGGAACGAGACGTTATAATGCATCGTCAGCAGCGATTGGTGGCTACGAAGAAACTGCAGTTCCTTATCGGATAGTATCGAGGCAGCGTCTCTCTCTGTGGGTTCCTGCTCCTGGTTCATGGATATTCGCAGGTAGTATATGCTATACCGGACAAGTTTGGATAATCTCTGTCGCAGTATTGAGCGCATGAGGTACTGCGTGCGCGCCAGATCAGATTGTAGAATGGACAGTTTGAGATTCAGTGTTGGGTTGTGGGTTGTTGCGCCGGTCGTGTCGCACGCAGACATTGAGAGGTCTTCTATTTTGGATATCTAGGACATTGTCAGTAATGAACTGGTTTATTTAAGTAAAGTGAACAAGAAGCAGAGCAACTTGCCTGCTTCGAGATCCTCTCCATCATCCTATCCATCAGCGGGCCGGGCCATGGCAGCAGTTCAGGAACGGCGCGCTCTGCAACCCAGAAACGCGTGAGTTGCTGATGGTCGACGGCCGTCGCCTCAGGGGAAGAGAAGTCGTCTCGGTCAAGGGAGGCGAGGATATCGTCTATTCCCTCCATCTTCTTCTCTCCCTTTCTATATGTTGTCTTGCTTTTCCCTTCAATGTAGCTAAATTTGTTGGTGGGATAAAATTAGAACTTTTGCGGCTAAAAATAAAAAGCAATGACGTCGGTCTTGGCGATATTTGTTTATTTACACGAAGAAGAAGAGGAAGGATAATTGTATAATAGTTATTTTCTTTATTTTTTTATTTCTTTATGTTATGCTGCTAACTGTTGTAGAATCTAGCTAGCCCAATCGTTTGCTCCTTTGCTTCCAAACAAGGGATGCAAGACCAAGCAAGAAGATAAAAACAATATCCATACAATCAACGCACTCGTCTGGGTACATCGACAGGAAACCCTTCCTATTCATCTTATAGGAATCTAGGGAGAAGTCATTGTATCTTCGGTAAAAGTGTGAGCATGTCCTGTGTTTCCTAGCTCATTCATTTTCTCCTCAGAACAATGTCAATGACACTCAAAACGGATATGGGGGGGATGGATAGACCTCATACAGATAGATGATCTGGCAGTAGGGTATGGGGTACACAAAAAAAGACTAGTAAAAAAAAGTGCTGATAAAATACCGCCCATGTCCGACTCTAGTAGAACAGAGGAAATAAATTGAGGCGCGGATGATCCGACGGGAATCAAGCCCGCGTAAGGGAGAGCGGCGGGTCCATTGGGATTTGTTGTTTGCTGTTTGATGTTTGCCCAGCATGGCACGGAAGAGAGAAAGAAGAAAGAGAGAGAAAAGAGGGGGAGGCAAACTGCGTCCGTGTAGGCAGAAGGCATCATTATAATAGCCGGAGGATCTGCAGCGGGGTTGGTTTCAGGTTGCCCAAGATCGATCCAAGAGGCGGAAATTCACGAATTGTATGAGATAAGAAGCTAGGAAAGTATCCGCACCGGCAATCAAGGCGGGATGAAAAGAGCGTAGGGTGTTTGTTGGTTCGGGAGTCGGTTAAGTCTTCGGAATTCGTGTGCAGGTCTTTTCATCTCATAGGGTGGATGTGGCGGATGGACATAAAACAGCTAAGAAAAGGCCACGGGGTAACAAAGGGGAAATAGACAAGGAAATAGGTATATTGACAAAGGAAATATTGAGGTAAAGGAAAAGGGGATAATGGTGCAGAGTATTGGTCAGTCAACTGGACATGATCGTAGAGAAACAGTGAAAAAAAAAAAAAAAAAAAAAAAAAGGAAAACGCTTGCGCTGGCTTAGAATCAATCAATCGCTCAGGATAAAAAGTATGAAAAGGAAAGAATTCGAAAGGAAGAAAATAAGGAGTTTCGCTATGACGCTTCAACAAGGAAAGCAAAACATGGAAACTTTTATCGCTGGGCTTGAACGCTTTTTGTTACTGCAAAGTGTCGAGTTGTTGGGTCAAAATTGAACACGGTCACTTGGTTGTAGGCAGCGGAGTTCTTGTCGACGAGCAAGATGGGGAGAATTGAAGATGGGAGAACCTTGGAACCGGGCCATGGCATCAAGGAAGGAAATGGTCGTAAAGGAGAAAAAAAGGAAAGTAGCAACAGTCGGTGCGCCAGGCGTTAGAATCAAACGTTAGGACTTCAAGTCAGGTCAAGGCGTAACTCCATCAAGAACATTAGCACCCGTTTGGTGGGGAGGGGAGAAGTCGAAAGAAGATGAAATGGGAGGAAGGCGGTCGGTTCGTGATTTAGTAGGAGAACATGCGACGTTCTGGCAGACGGCTGGGTGAAAAAGCACGTCCCAATGGGCTGTCGAGAGTAATGTTGCGATCACTGGCTCCACGGCATCGACCTGTTGGACTATCCTCCATGGAGTTATGTTGGCCAAAGGCAAACGTCTGAGCTCTGGAAAGCTTCGACCGTTGCTTCACTTTGCCCAGGCCACGCTCGCAGGCAAACTCGTGTTCCTTGGAAGCCATCTCGACGTAGTTTTGGGGGTAGCAGAGGGAGCTGTGCTCAGCAAAGAAGCCGCTGTATCCGCCGTGGAGGATGTACATTTCGGGGAATGTGAGTTTGGGGTATTGGTCAATATTGACTGCTCGATCTCGATGTCGGATGAATTTGGCCCTGCATCATGTTAGACGAAACAAATGTAATAATAGGGTGTAAGAAAAAAAAACTGACATAATAGGAGCGCGGTGAGCAGAGTATTCGCAGTGAAAGATGAGCGCACTGTTTGGTTTCGTTCCACCTTCGGCGAAGAGCTTGTCCGCGAGTTGCTCCTTGTCGTTGTAGTTGACAGCTCCGTTGATGTGGCCACCCTCATATTCGTATTCAAATCTGCAATCTATGATAATAATTTCGTCATACTGATCGTTGTATTTCCCATTGACGATGTCGACCAGGACGCTATTCTCGATCCGAGGCAGACAATCCGGCTGGTCCTCCGGGATGAAATGAGGTAGATGCAAGGTGGGAGCCGAAGATTCCATGTCAGTGATAGACTGGAGAGCAGTGCTGGCGTGCATGGTCGAGTCATCGTTGTCATCCTTGAGCACGTCTTCTGGGTGCTCGAACATGCTGAGGGAGCGTCTGCTGAGCTTGCGTGGGCGGGAGAATGGGTTGGAGCCTCTTCGGATGGGGCCGTAGTTGGGGGAGCCGTTCTCCGGGACCTGGCCTAGCGTCCTGGCCGGCCGTGACCGTGAAGGCCCAGGGGGGCGACCGGCAGCGGTACTGTCTCGTGCAGAGGGGGTGTCGGGACCATCTTCAAAAATCTCAGCCAGCGAGATCGAGGAGGAGGTGGAGAGCTTGCTGCCACCAGCGAGGAACTTGAACTGGGGCGGCTGCGCAAGGGGCGTCCTTGACGCACTGTAGGCCTTGGTACGCATCAGGGACGGTCTCAACATCGGTGCTTTCCGTCGTCTGTTCGATGTTAACTTGACAATCCTACAATTATAAACCAGAGGCTTTGCTTTGATAAGTACATACTCAGATGGCGTGGAGGACCGGCTAGGCGCTATTGGCGACTGTTGCAAAGTGTCTGGCAGAAACAGGTTCTGGTGGGACTTTGCCATAGACAGCTCCATCGTGGGAGACTCTAGGTCCAAGGCCATGCTGAAGGGCGCCTTGTGCGGTAAGGGAGACATCTCCATGATATCACTCGGGGCAGGAGAAGATGGTATAGGTGGGGTTGTTATTGTTTCTATAGCATAGTCCGTCAGCATTCCACCCATACGACTCAAGTCTACCATGATAGGCAAAGAGGGTATATATGGATGATTGATTACCATTATCTGAGCAAAACAGATTAGCTGAAAACAGCGACCTGCGAGGCGTGACTAATTGAGGACTGAAAGAGAAGAACAGGTCAGACAACAGCAAACAAGAGGTTGTTTGTCATGGTATATAATGGGTATTGGTTGTTGTAGCAGCAGCAGCAGTATAGTATATAATGGTATCGTACCTTTGATCGATGTGGAAGTTCTGGGAGAGGTCAGCGGCGAGACTGACGGTGGGCGAGGGCCGGGTGGACTTGACATTGAAGTAGTCCGTCCTGGCCCTCTTCATGGACAGGTCCCTAAAGTTGAAGCTATCTGGACCAAAGTTCCCCACGGCAGGGAACTGGGTGAAGGAGCTGGCAGGCTCTGCTCGAAAGCAGTGTCCAAAGTGGACGGAGGGAGGATGCATGGCAGCCAACGGCGAGGACTGCTCCATGTTGCAAGTCAGATGTCTATCCCAGTGTAACCCGCAGCGTCCTGTACTTGTTTCTGTCCGTCTCTCTCTCTCTCTCTTTCTGTTTCTCACACTCTCTGTCTCTCTCTATCTTCTGTGCTGTCCGTGTGTCGTCTACCTCGCTGTCGTAGGGTCAAGGCCTATGATGCAAGCTACAGTCTCGAGACTCAAAGCTGAGCCCACCCGATTCGTCGAGTGTAGGTCAGGGCCGGGAGAAGGTGATTGTATGATCCCAGCTGGTCAACTATCCCAGAGGTCTAGAGAGATGCTGCTTGTTCGTCTTGTCTACTTCTCCATGGTGGTGGTGGTGGTAGTGGTCGTCGTCGTCGAGTTTGGGAGAGAGCAAAAGCCGTAAAGGAGTCGTGAAGATTTCAAGGTGATGAAGAACAAGAAGAGGCAGAAGCAGAAGAAGAAGAAGAAGATATCTGAGAGAAGAAGAAAAAGAGGAGAGATGATGCTGTTGCAATGGGCAACGGCGAGAAAGAAGAAGAAGAAGAAAAGAAGAGTTTACGGCGTATGTAAAGTAAAAAAAAGGATGTT